ATATATATATATATATATATATATATATATATATATATAAGGTGTATAGCTAGGGGATGCTAGCGAGCGTGTCTGGTTCCGTGCAGCAATACCAACGGAGACAATTATGATGGTGGTGCTCGTAGCTTTGCTTTTGGACGTGCTCTCTTGCGGAGCTTTGCGAGGTCGGGCCCAGAACAAAAGCACGTGAGAGCTACCCTTCAAGGAAAAAAAGAAACGGCTCAACTTTGAAGATGTGCAAAGAAGAGTATTAATATAGTGTCTTTCATGCACGCTTCAAAAGACACGAGAAGGATCACCACGACTCGAGCATCGAGGCAGAAAAGGAAACATCGTGGTGCAACACAGAAACGGAGGAATCAATCAAACGCCTGAGAGAGCGCCTTTGGCAACGTTCGGTCGTACGAACACTTCGCAGCGAATTGATGCTGTTGCCGTCGCGGCGCACGACGAGGGCTTCTTTATGGCAGGCAAAACCTCAGGAGCAAATAAAAGCTGAAAAGGAAAGTAATGATGCAAATTAAGTAAGTAATGAGTCTGTAATAGATATTTTCTTTTAAAAGGGAAAAGGTGAAGTTTGTTACATACCTTTCCACGCTTATATATATATATATATAAGTATAAAAACAGAGGGAAAATAAAGCAAAAAAAAGATATTACGCGGGTTTTGCCACCCGAGTACATGCATTAGCCAAGAAGTCCTCTGATATGATTAGGAGGGAGTTCAACCAGCAAAACGAAAACAACAGGAAGAGGAAGAAAGAAGTACATTAGATCCTACAAAAAGAAAAAAGAAGAAGATGGTCAAATAGTACTACGCAACACAGCGACTCAGTGTCGGCGGGAATCTTTCCATGTTACGCAGAGATATAGGTTGCGGTGCCGTAAACGTCCGCGGCGTGCTTCTTCAACTGGAAGTACTGTGGATGGTGGTTCGCTGAGTGATACACCAGGAAACCACCCTTTTGGATGTCCTCTTGACATAACCAGCCCTTCTCCACGCTGCGTTCCCGTTTGTTCGCCACCACCTTAATGTGCTTCGCCGTCATCAGCAGAATCTTGTACTCCTCGTGCGAGGTGACGACAACGTTCGCCGTCGGGCCGACAGCACGCGGAAAGCGCTCGTAGAAGTCCGGTGTGGGAAGAGCGTGTGGGCGAGAGTGCTGTCGCGATGGCGAAGCTGCACTCGAGGGACTAGACTCCGTCACGGCCGTGTTCGATGCACCGCTGCGGGTACCGTCATCAACAGCGTCGCTACGAGTCGGTCTGCTGTCCCCCTGCTGTTCCTGTGTGTTGTCCGACGGGAACACGGGAGAGGTCTGTGCGCTTGGGGAGCCATTTCTGCTGTCGAGGACGGCGTCGGACTCCGTCTCGCTCGGCGTTGTCGTGGATAAGGCGTTGCGCAGCTTCGTTTTCATCACGTGCACCAACGACGCCGACTGACGCGGTGGAAGGGAGTCATCGATAGACATTTGAAGAGGTCAACGAAAGAAATTGAGTGCAAAAACAGTGTACTGCTTAGAATTAAAAATATCTAACGCGATGCGGTTTGATGTGTTGTTCGTGCAGCGGTGAGACGGTACAGAAAGCACGTTATACGTCAAAACAGAAGTGTTTGAGGACAAAGAGAAAGAAGATGAAGGCGGCATGTTGCACTTGGATGACATGAGGAGAATGCCGTAGAACCGTCGCTCTGTTCTCGCACTTGAAGTTGCAAAGACAGAGAACAACGACGCAGCGATGCCGGTAAAGCTTTATATTTTTCCGGCCGCTGGTGATGGATGCGACCAGCGCGGCAAAACCCTCACGGAATGCCCCTGCCGCATTCCGCGCCGCATCTCGTTTGCGCTGTTCTTCTCTGCTTCACAAGCAACGCAACGAAGCCAACGATGAGAGTCATGATGGGCTTTGAAAGCGAATGCGAATGCTTGAGGGAAAAAAAGAAAAGGAGCTACACCACAGCCACCCGCGGGAGCGGTTACCTATAAAACGAAGAGAACCCGATAAGACAAAAAAGGAGCAAGAGTTTCCTTGAAATAACAATAATAATAATAACTGGATCAGATGGAAAGTAGAGAGAGGGAGAGAACCACGAAAATGACCACCTCACTGCCGTTGCTTTCAGCGGGAACGGTGAAAGCGAGAACCGACACACACACACAGTATAAAACCACCACAAAACAGTAGTTGAAACAAACCTTTCTTCGCTGCATCAACGCAGCTCAACGAATCAAACGTGGTAGGAGTCTTTCACCAGGCAGACGGCAGACACCTTCAAAAATAAAAAACAAAACCTCTCACCACGAAGACGCAACATCACCGGCAAAGGAGCGTGACGCGGAAACGAATGGAAACGGACTACAGTGACCTTTTTAAAAACAGGAAAAACAGAAGGAAGAGCAAACCGTGCTTATAGGCTGTGTGAGAAGACAAGCTTCCTATAGTCCTATACAAGAACAAAAAAAAAAGAGAAGCAAACGAAGCGGATGATGAACGTACATCAAACGACTGCCACGCAACCCAATCCTTCGCGCACACACCCGCTAAGATCGTACACCTCTATCTTGTGGCAATCACTCGGTGACACACGCGCTTTAAAACCACAAAAATTCATGTTCACTGTCTTTCTCTCCCTCGTCAGACTTCACTGCTCGAGGAGTTTCGAATACGCAAACAAAGAAAAAGAAAAAGAAGAACACGACAAGGCGCACACGTTAATCGGTGTAGAGAAGCCACACACGCATTACAGAGAAATACATGCAACAAAGAAGATAAGAAGCACGAAATACATTTTTCTTCTGGTTTTGAAAACGAAGCGCGAATGACCGCTTCTTCTCGCTCGCGTTGCGAGCCTGCGCGTTCTCTTTGAAAACGCAGCATCAAACAGGCAAAGAAAAGAGAGAAAAATAAAGAAAAGACAAACAATAATTATCGTTCAACCGGATCAACGTACGGTGACGCCTCATCGCAGGTGTTCGAGAACATTGAAAGTGCGACCGAGTGCGCCAGAGAGGAAAAAAAAAAGGAACTATGTGAGAAAGAAAACAAGTACGATAATAATAATAATAATAATAATAATAATAATAATAATAATAGAGGGCTCAGAGGTGGAAGCACCCACCATATATTTACGAGTGTGAAGTGAAGAGGTTAGAAGAGGAGGGGAAGAAACACAAACAAATCAACAAGAGCAAACTCTTACACGAACCTCAAGGGCGCCAAAAAACAAGCCTCTTCCCCTCAAATACGGTTCTCTCCAAGCGCCGGTTACTTTCCCGCGAAGAAATTCTTAAGAGTTGAGTCTCCATAGTAGAGACTTGCAGAAATAAAATCCCGCTTAAAAAGAAAAGAAAGGGAAGACGAAAAAGAAAAGGGGGAAAAAGGTGGCTGTGTTTTACTGTAAAGAGAAATGTATATTATCGACGCCGGTAGGACGAGGTGCCGTACACGTTCACTTTCTTGTCGTGCAGAAGGAAGTAGCGCGGGGCGTCGTTGTCCGGCTCGTAGACAAAGAAACCGCCTCTCGCGATGTCCTCGCGGCTCAGTCGGTCCTTCGCGGCATTCCGTTCCTCCTTGCGCTCCACCACTCGAATGGGACGGGCGATCAGGCGGAAGTGTCCGAACTCCTCCGGTGAGGTGATGAGGACGTTCGCCAGCGGTCCGACAGCGCGGGGGAAGCGTTCGTAGAAGTTGGGTGTCGGCAATGCCTCGGGTGGCGGACCGACGCGTCGCTCGCGCCTCGATGGCGTCTCCGGCGCCCGCCCGAGCGTGACGACGCTGCTGCTGCGCGTCAACGCGTTAAGAGTCCTGGGGCTTCGCGTGGACGAGAGAGCGGGCGCGGTCGAAGAGGAGGGTACGGCGGTGGGGTAGTTGCTGGTGTTGCGGCGAGACGCCACACCGCTGCTTTTGTTGGTTGTACCTGTCGAGGACGTCGCCCCGCAGAACGTTTGTTTTATGGCGTGGACAAGTGTCTTCTGGCGACGAGGGGCGGCAGCCGGAGACGTCATGGAAAACCACGCGGAGACCGAAAGACGAGCACAACAGCGTTGCGTCGATGGAGGGAGCACGTACCAACGTGGATGCAGACAAACCGTGTCGCTTGATCGAACTCCGCTGCTTCCTTATCCGAAGAGGAGTTCGACTGTAAACGAATTGTGAAGGTACCTCTCTTTTCGCTGTCTTCACACAAGCGCGATTTCTGATAAGAAGGGTTGGAAATAGGTAGGGGATTGTGGAGAGATTGTTGGATGTTTGTGTGGTGCGCGTCGGTGAGTGGACAGTGGCCGGGAGACACACACAGCAAACGAACGGAAAGAGAGAGGAGGCTGTACTACGTTTGAGCGAGAAGCGGAAGTGGCGGCGAGAGAGCCATTTTAGCCGGTCCACTTGAAGGGGGAAAAATAGATGGAGAGTGAAGGAGAGAAAGAACTGCCCTTCATCGCATGGAAGTCGTGAGATGTTGGCTTCGTGGTCTCTTGCAGGACGCCCCCCGGCACCGTTGTGCCCTTCATTTTGTGTGTGTGTGTGTGTGCTCGAAGCCATTTTTGGTGCAAGTGCTGCTCCTGGCTTCATTGCGGCCCTCATTGCCGCCGCCTTGGCTCCATGCGGCCCTCTCCCAAACGAGACACCCGTGTGCTCATCAAGCGCCTCGCAGCATCCAACCTTCAGCGTCCGTTGTTCAGTGCCCGATTTCTTCTATATAGAGCGACAATAATAGCAAGTACGCGAACACGACATTCCACATTCATCACGGCGTGTCGTACGATGCGTTTTCGGTACACCTTTTGAGGGGGCAGAACTAAACTAGCAAACAAAGAAAGCACTGTCTAAAGAAAGAAGCGTATGGGGCATCACTGAGAGGAACGTTCTTCGCTTCAATGTCGCGAAGTCCAGACTCAACAGCGGTCGTGGAATCAAAAAAGAAATTGAAAGAAAAACATTTTTTTAAAGAAAAAAAAAGAAGAGGAGGAAGGAGTGGAAACCACAAATAATACTGTAAAACAGAGAATGAGAGAGTCTTGAAGAAAAGAACGTGTCTCACGCACCGCAGGAAACATGTTGATGATCGTAGAAAGTGTAAACTCACTTCAGGACTATCGCAACCTCGGGCAACGCTCTGAGCACCTTTCCACGCACGCACAACGGAGAAGAGAACACTCATCGCGGATGCAGAGCGGAAGAGTTATGTAAAAAAAAAAGGAAATGCGAGGTGTCTGGAACTGTCTGCAGCAATACGCATACGAGATAGTGTCTAGTGTTCACATCAGCATAGTACATACGCTGCAGAAAGATTAGACCAGGCGCCATTCCAATTCAGTAATAGAAAAGGAAAAAAATGATTTTCATTAAACAGCATAAATAAATAAACTGAAACAAATGAATGAAGCCACTGAGCACACGCCCACTTCGCGTACAGGAAAGAGAGCCGCCGCCCAGAAAGAAGCGTTCCCACTTCGCTTTAGCTTTTATTGTCAGCACAGTCAAGGCAGGAAGGCGTTCTGGAGGGGCATTTCCTGGCAAGAAGGGATGACTTCTTAAAGGAACACGGAGAGGAAAACGATCAAATAGGTGAAATAAATATTTAGTTGCAATGCGGTTGACAGGGGCTGATGAGCTCGCCGTGTGACAACGCATCCTACCGCCGCAGCGACACCAACGAAGGCGCTTGTGTGCTTGTGCGTGTGTGCTACATAGAGAGGCAAAGCGCAAGAAGAAAAACACATCAGGTGATACTTTCGCTTTACCTCTTCCCATACATCAAAGCCATACACACATCGCGCACGCACATAACGAGCTAACGACGAGTATCCGCCGGTGTGTGGGCACCGGGAAAAAGCGCAAACCGTTGACAAGGCGGTAGCCGCATCGAGCCCCTCTCAGAAGTAATAATAAAAAGAAGAGCCAATAAGCCGGGGTTTGATTTGGCCAGGAGTGGAAACAACTGAAAATCAAATTTGCTTCCTTATCGAGAAATCACAGAAAGACACCTGGTGAGAAACCTGATCTGGTATTCATATGATGCAGCTTCGCAGGGAGGTCCGTTCTGCAGTTTTGGAGAGTGAGCCACGAAGAAAGAGGGGAGGAAGGAAAAACACACGTGCTCGCACCCTCCGAGTTCACACGGCGACACACGTGGCTCCACCATACCCCAAGGAAACGCGAAACGAAAGAAAACGAATCGCAGCGGAGTGAGAGAGAGAAGATGACCGAAAAAAGAAGAGGAAGAGGAAGCGGAAGCAGAAACGCTGCTGCGCCTCCATCCCACCCTCCTTGTTTTGACATCTCCTCGCCGTCAACACGCTGTCATCCATCCTGTCTTTCTCTCTTCTTGTCTTTCCTTAGCTCGAGCCACAGTTCACCGGGTAGGTGCAGCGCAGCGACATGCTGTCGGCACACGGTGAGCTGCACGCAGAGGAGCAGTCGTTCTCGTCTTCTTCCGAGCACGCATCGCAGGAGCAGCTCTCCGTAAAGACCGAGGGCTCCTCCTTCAGCATGCACGGCACACGCGCAGCGGGACGAGGGAGATACGCCGCACGGCCGTAGACCTCATCATCGGAGTCGGTGATGCTGTAGTACAGCGGCGCCTCCTCAGACCCCGCCAGTGTCACCTTCACACACCCACCCTCCGCCTCGGCAGCTGCCTGCGAGACGCGGCGGCCCACAAGCTTCCACAGATACGCCTCTTCCGCATCCACAACCTCCACGTTGCCCACCGCCCCCACCTCCTCGGGGAACAGCTCGAAGTAGTTGTAGCACGGGTCGGCGTGGGGATACGTGGCGGCAGAGGAGGTGCTGCCCGTCGTCGTCGTTGCCGAGGCGGGCATCGCCGCTTCCACAGGTGCGGAAGCGCGGTGTTCGCGGTGGTGGCGGCGAAAGATGGAGGCAGTGCGGATATGAGAAAGCATTTTCGAAATTCCTGTTCTTTTTCCTTTGTTGAGACTGGGTACTCCGTCAAATCCCACTCAGGCACGCACACAAGACAAGGTGATGCACAGAGGAGAAAAAACAAAACCCTGCTGTTCAGTAGAAAACGGCTTTGGTGCTAGAATTTGAGTTTGTTAGCGTTGATTGCAGTGAAGTTTCACTCGACGTATTTTGTTCTCGTTAATCTGTCGCAGCAGCAGAAGTCGAAGAATGCACAGAAACCGCAGCGAGCGCCGGTACGTACGGAAGCGTGAGACGATTTGAAAGAGAGACGCAGCAGAGTGAGAGGGGGAGAGAAAGGCAAGGGAAAGAAAGGCAAGGGAAAGAAAAGGTACGCCAAGAGTCGCTAGTCGTTAAAAACGAAACGACGCGTAGTGAGTTCACCTCTAAAATCATAAATGAAAAGAAGGAGCTCGTATGCCTCGTCTGAATGTCAAAGCAACTGTCCATCGTGAGAAGGCAGCTTTGCGGAGTGGACCGCACTGAACCAAAGTTGATCTTCACGGTCCATACTCTCATCCTCGAGAGGAGAACTTCTAAATAAGCCTCCAGTGTTGGCTCACCTTCAGCAAAAAAGGTAATGATGATTATTGCTCCTCCTGAGGTCAACAAAAACTTCATTTCTGTTTGCCTCACCCTTGACGACTCGCTAAGGGAAGCGGAAAGAAGAAAAAGGGGAAAAAACAAGCGACTAAGGTGGCGTCCCGGTCCCTCCATAAAAGCATTTTTATTAAACACAGTGAGAAAAAGATCCGCAAGGAATCACGCAAAGCGTGTCGCATGCAGAAGAACACCTCTGGCGAATGGGAGCAGGAACCAGGCTATATTTGCGGTGTTGCGATATATATATATATATATATATTTACTTTTCCTCAAGGTTCGTACTGCGATTTTGATCCGCAGTGCATTTGCTTTAGATATATGAAAAAGAAACGAAGGATGCAGCATCTCGTTCATTCCAACACGGGGAAGAGGGAGGAAAGACAAGGAGACGAAGAGAGGGTGGTTGCTGTTTAGCAAACGCAGTAGAGATAAAATAATAATAATAATATATCAAAGGAGTAGAGCGAAGAAAGAAAGCACTGAAGTATGGGTATAACTGCTTTAAGGAGAAAGCAAGAAGGAATGAATACGTTCAACGGTGTCAGCGGGGAGAAGAATAAAGCGTAGTATAATATATATATAAGCGCTGACATCGCTGCCGCAGTTAGAAACAGATGAAAAAAAGATGAAGCACGGCTCACTTGTTCGACACTGCGGTTGAAGCAAGGGGAGAAGGAGACCAGCACTTCGATGAATAAACGATATATATATGTATAGCTCGTACTACGACATGCCCTCGCCGTCATTTACACGACACTAGGCACACCGTAAAAAGATGCTGTGGTAGCGTAAGGGCAACTTCGAAGGGAAGTCGGGGCCTTCGGCCTCGTCCATGTCCTCGGTGTGGCCATCACAGCTGGTGTCGCCGTCAGAGCTGTGCGTAGGCTCCGCCCACGTCGTTCCTTCGGATTTACCCGCGAGGGAGACATATGCTGCCCGGCCGTACACTTCATCGTCCGTGTCCGTGAGACAGCAGTAATGTGGCTTTGTAGAGGACTTACCTTTCTTTGTGTGGGGCGGTGCAAAGACGATGCACCCACCTCGCTTCGCCGCCTCCTTCGCCCCCACGGGGCGGGCCACCAGCAGCCACGGTTCGAGCTCCTCGGGTTTCGTCAGCACCACATTGCCCAGCGAGCCGACCTTCGCAGGCGCTCCCTTGTCAGCAGCGTGATATGGCACAGCACAAGGGAGCGACTGCATCTCCGCAGCACGAGGTGGTCCCAGAACGACCAAGGCCGGCTGTTCCGCGATGCAACTCCGCGGTACCAATGGACCGTGAGTAGCCAACGTGATGTACATGTCCATCATGGTGTCAAGAGAGGGGAAGGAGAAGGAGACTCTGCAGTGAGAGGGGTGAGGGAGATAAAGAGGAGCGTTACTTTAGATTTTTACTTTAATTTCAAGGAGCACGCACGGTGTTCTGAAAAGCGTAAAAAGCCATTTTTTTTATTTTAAAAGGTTGAATACCAACAACGAAAATCCAAGAAGAAGACGAGTGGAGAGAAGGTGGAGCGGGAGGTTTGGATTGAACGCGCATCTGCGATGGTTGCGACACTCTTTTGGCGCGAGTCGACGCTTCCCTTGGCAGCAACGCGTGCGCACGGAACGATGAGCGTAGGAGGGAAAAGATGTACCCGAAGAGGCACAGGAGTTCGACACACTGGCACCCTCCTGCGTTCTGTTGTGAGGAGGAAGAAGGAGCAGACGTCCCAGCATTACTCACGAACAGCGCCATACTTGAGGCACAGAAGCTCGTCAGTGGTTAGCACTTCTGTCAGAGAAAATGTCGTTCTTTCGTGTAGATATATATTTCCAAATTGGACCCGTGTATTATTTCCATTTTCACAAAGTTTACGCTGTTTATCAACGCATAGAGAGAGAGAAGTTTGCAAAATAAAAAAGTGGATGGTGGAGGGGGGGGGGGATGGAAGCCGACCTAATTTGCCTCGACAATATACATGGGATGTCAGCAAAGCTGTACGAGTCCGCTGCCACTTAGATCAAGAACAAAGAAAGTAACAATGGTAGAAGTCCTCAGCACCAACAACAGCAAAGAAGAGAAAAAAAAACCATCAACGCAAATCGTGCCGGAACTTCACAAGTAGGCGTAGACACATGTAAGATATAAAAATGCAACAAATTGGCACCGACTCACGCACCCTGCGTCGGTCACATTAGCTTAGATATAGCGAGGAGAAACGGAATTACTGAAAATAATAAAAGAACGTGAGGCACCGCTTCACACGACACTCTTCTTTACGCACTACGCACAACGAGAGCCGTCGAGGAGCAGGCGGCAGGAAAAACATAAGTGTATTAAACAAACCCCAGAAGGCGAATCACACCCTGGAAAGTAGAGCCGACAGGTGAAGGGATGCGCAGCCGGCGATCTCGCATAACTCCAGTCATGCGGACGAACTCTCGTCATGAGCGCCTGCGCACTGCTTTCCGAGTACATCACCTTTCTTTTTTCTCCAAAGGTGTTTGGGTGTCGAATAAGCAGCGGCACGAATCGGAGCTGAGTGGTGCGGTGACGTCGCTACGCAGTGGTCATCCTCCCCTTCCTCTGTGCAGGCGTTACTGTTGGAGCTATTCCTGGACTCTAAGTGGCACGTCGGCGACTCCGGCAGCTTCAACACCATCTCATCGAGTCTCGGAAGATACGCGGCTCGACCGTCCGCCTCATCTGTATATTGGAGGCAAAAGTACTGCAATGCGGTGGAAGAATTCGCCTTTGCTATGCCGGAGGGGGCGGACACGATGCAGCCGCCACGCTTCTCTGCGTGTTCACGAGGCACCGGACGAGTCACGAGCAGCCATGGCCGCAGTTCCTCCTCGTCCGTGATGACCGTATTGGCGGTGGGAGCAGCACGACGGGAGAGGTATTCATAGGAAGCAGGGCAGGGCAAAGCCTCCGGTAAAGACTCGTCATCGTATAGCATCTGACTCGATTCATCCGTCTCACGAGGTCGTCCGCCGTTTCTTAACCGATTTCGGAGCGAAGAAAGCGCGGAGAAGGTGCTCGTAGGCATTGGTGCTGTCGCGGTGAAATTAAGAGAATTATATGGTTTACTTTCGTGCGTCCAGCGCAGAGGAGAGCAGAAGAAGCAACGCTCGTGGATGGAAAAGTTGGAGAGAGAGAGAGAGAAATGTGTGTGTGTGTGTGTGTGTGCCGACTTCACGCACGGTGTCGTTTACTCGGTAAAGCCATACGCCTTCGCAGCAAGCGCACATGAAGGCAAGGTCGACCATCGATGTGAACCTCAATGTCCGTCACACAAAGACGTCTCGTCCGTGGCAACGAGGGGTGCTAGGAGGCCCAGCTGACGATCGCGTCAGTATCACATCTTCACAGCAATAGTTCAATACTCGTATATACCGTAGAAACACAAAAACCCACAAAACCAGTAAAACAGGCAAACAATAGAAACGAAAGGGTGTGAAACACACAGACAAAACAACGCAGACAGCCACCACTTTTTGAGCGGGAGGTCGAGAGGTGAGAAGCAACGGCTAAAGTTCTGCTCGACGCTTGCGGTCTTACGTGTGTTCTCCGTGCTCTCACGATTCCTTGTTGTCATGCCGGGCATCCAAATGGCACTTGCATCTCTCGGTGTGGGCGGTCTTCGCGCCAGATCTGCATGAGTCACCGTGATGCAACGAGTCTACAACGGCGTCACAGAATGTTTTTGTTTGGAAAAGAAGAAAAATAGAAATGATATTTAATACAAAAAATACAACGAGTCCACAAAGCATAGAAGTCGCCCAATGAAGCCCGGCAAAGATAGCAAGGTCCTTGCGGAGGCATTGCGGTCGAGGAGTGGTGCACTGGTCAAACATGTGTGGCATTAAAAACAAGAGAGCAGAATAATGACGCAACGGAGGAAGTCGTGTTGATGCGCTCTGTCGCGCTCGCGACACACCGAAAGAGCGACTAATGGCGTACGCTCCATGAAAAATGAAGGAAGAGGTGAACGGAACACATCTACATTCAGAAGAGTGATTCAGTTATCTTTCGAGTTGCACTGAAAAAAGAGAAGATGAAAACAGACGCTGAAAGCATCGGTGAATTTCAAATAAAAAACGGCAACAGCGAAAAGAGAAGAGAAGAGAAGGAGGAGAGCTGTGAGGACATCACCGCCATTCGATACAAATAAAAACACAAGGAAAGGAGAAAACAATGCGCGTGACACGTGCGCGTGACGTCAGAAATTCTCGTTTCAATTGTTGCCGGCCTTTTGATGTTTGTTTTTTTGTCAGAGACAGAAAACACAAGAAAGTGCTCAGCATTGATTGTAACCGAACCCCATGGGTAATTGTACCAGTGGGGGTTGAGCTGCACGGTGCGAAGGAGGTGAGCGCACTCAGCCTTGCATGCCGCTCGAATTCGATGACCACCGTCCAGAAACAACAAGAAAGAAAAGATGAGGCAACACACGACGGCAAAGTCGACCAGCGCGTTCTACGGAGCATGCCATGCACCGCATCAGTGAAATAAAAATAATAATAGTAATAAGACAGAAACACTAAAACAAGTCAACGCTTAAAAAAAAAAAGGAATCGAGGGCGGCCGTCATACATCGCCTCCGCACACCCATCAATGTAAGGAGTCGCGTGTGGGTACGGCACTTCTACTAAAAAAAGCCCCACCAGAAAACAAAAACAAATTTCCAAGAAAGAGAAAGGGAGAGAGGGAGGGAAGGAAAGAGAGAGGGAGGGAGAGAGGCTTAGAGCTGAAGTTCAACGTATTTCCACACGAAGTAAGCGAGAAATTCATGGAGTACTTTACAGGCAGCGCACGAGTTAAGAAGCCAAATGCCTAAAAGAACGAAACAGCTGTTTAACAGAGAAGAAAAAGGTTAGAAATCACACGCAGACTGTGGGTGTGAAAGGAAACGGCTTTTGACGGAAAAGACAAGAAACAAAAACAATTATAGGGACTTGGAAAAGTAAAGTAGAGGCAGCTACACGGAGGACATAGCGCTACGATGACGCACACAACGGTATTCCTGTTATGGTGTTAACGAGCGTGCGTGGTGTCGTCCTCCCCGTACACAACAGCACGCATGTGTACAGCACGATTCAACACAAATCGCCGGAGAGCGTCGTTTCATCGCTGTCCTCCGCCGTTAACGCGTTATGATTGCTGGAGCTGTTCTCCGAGCTGCACAGCGTTGCATCTGGGCTCTTCACAGTTATGTCATCGAGTCGCGGAAGATACGCGGCTCGACCGTACACCTCATCATCGGGGTCTGTGAGACAAAAGAACTGCAATGCGGTGGAGGAGTTCGTTTTGGTTCCGTGGGAGGGTGCAAAGACAATGCAGCCGCCACGGGTTTCTGCGTGTTCACGGGGCACCGGACGAGCCACGAGCAGCCACGGCCGCAGCTCCTCCTCGTCGGTGATGATTACGTTGCCCAAGGCTCCAACCCTATTTGGATAGCGTTCGTAGAAGTCCACACAGGGTAATGCGTTGGGGAGTGCAACTCTCGCACTGCCCTGTCGAGTGGAGGAGACAGCGTGCACAACCGAGTTCCTCTGCACCGCGAGTCTTCCGTACCGGTAGAGAGACGCGTGGGTATCGAAGTGCATTGTGGAGACTAGGAAGGAAAGGAAGAAAAGAAATTAGCCGAGGGAAAGCAACAAACTATCTTCTGTGTAAATCACGTTCAACTTTCTTTGTTGGGGAAAACCAATTTTTTCGTTGGAGCACTCAAAAGCATCCAAAGAGTGTGAAGTAGATCGCCCTTGCTGGGTAGCGCACCGTGTGGATGTCGCGGTAGTGGAGGAGGAAAGAGCCGTTTTATTCGATACCCAGGTCAGTGCGTTGATGTCACAGTCGTGTGTGTTTGTATGTCGGGGGGCGTGTGTCCTGGAACGCGCGAACGGGTACATCCAAAAGAGCCACAACAGTGAAAGAAGGAGAGAAAAGAAGTATGTGGGCAACGATGAAGGAGAGCTGCACGAGGAGCACACCCTTGTCAAAGAGACGGCTATTCTCCTTACTGGCGCTACACTCCGACACAACAGAATCCAAAACAAAAGTAGAGGGGGCAGTGAACGGCGTGCCACCTTTCCAAGGCTAACAAGCAACACCTAGGCTGCCCCTCCCGTGCTTCCTCGTACGTAGTCCCAAGCACAAGAAGTTCTGCCGCGAGCATGTTTCCCACGTGTGACTTCGATTGAATACGTTGTTTGTTTGAAGAACAGCGTTGACTCGTTAAAAACAAAAAGGAGGAAGAGAAAAAACACGGACTTCAACGAGGGGTGAAAAGCGCAATTATTTGATGTCCTTTCATCGACTCGGCGAGAAGGAAAAAAAGCGGTGTACATGAGCGTTGAGACAACACACCGAAAGCCGTGTCAGTCCGGTTAAACCCCAAACCCCAAATGTAGCGACCATTCTATCTTCATCCAAGTCAGGTCAACGGTTACTACGAAACAGCACACACAAAAAAGAAACAATAGAAAAGGAGATCACCACAGAGAGAGAGAGAGGCACCGAAGGTGGTGGGCACACAATCACACCTTTTACTACACCTCCGCGGGATACATGATGGTGACACACTCGCACAGATGGTGCACGCGGCGGCGGCGAATAGGGAGTGCTGTCGAGTGAGAAGAAGGCAGATCAGACTTCAAAAAGGCATGATGAAAGAGAGAAATATATAAATGAAAAGAAAGCCTTTTTCTTGGAAAAGAAAATCATCTGACAACGCCCGCAGGCACGAGCCTGCTTCTACCGATGAGAGAAGAGATGAGAAGGGGGTCGGCTATATCGTGTGAGAGAGAGCGGAACGGAAGAGACAATCAAAAACAAGAAAAAACAAATACATGAAATATAACGCCAGCGACTACATGTGCGAAAGAGACATATGTTGTGCGTTCCTCGACGGTGTTGAAGAGAATGGGCAGTTTCATTTAAACTGGAGATGAGGTGAGATGCACGGCGTTGGTGCGGATCACACAGACAGACAGACAGAAAGAAGAGAAGCACATGCGCTTCACACGTGTCAAGAGAAAAATACAAGAGAAAGAGAGAGACGCCGTCGAAAAGGTAAAAACTAAAAGTTGAAAGTTGTGGTTGTGGCAGAAAGACAGAAGGAGCAGCAGCGAAAGAAACGGTGGAAAGTATTTATTGTTTTGACGGCGCCTTAGAGAAGGGAATGAAGGGAAAATGGTTGGCATCGCGGAAATACTCGGAGACATCAATGAAAGACTGTAATGAAAAGAATGCAGCGTAGTAAGAAACAACCCCAGCAGGGTGCCGCCGAGGAGTTCAACTACCGTTTGAACTCTGCTGTTGTGGAGCTTCACGGGGCACGGCGTTCGCCACCTCCGCACGGTCTGTAATGGCGGAGACGGACTCGGAAAAGTAGGCCGCTCGGCCATACACGGTATCATCCGTTGCCGTGATGCAGTAGTACCGCGGCGCACCGGTAGAGGCAGCCGCCTCTGACCTTGACGTTGCCGGTTGGAAGATAACACAGCCGCCGTTCTTCTCCGCCTCCTCACGCGAGCTCGGCCGGCAGTACCGCACCCACTCTCGCAACTCCGTCTCGTCACGGAGGAGGATGTTGCCCCAGACATCCGCGCCCTGGGGGAAGCGGGCGTCAAAGTGGTGACAGGGCAGCGCCTCTGGGAGAGATGCGACGGTGAAGGTGCCCCGCGCCGCGTCCTGCAGCTCTCTCGCCCGCTCGCTCCGCTCCTGCGTGTTGCGTCGTGTGGAGTAGCGATAGAGGGCGGCCACGTGCATTGCTCTTGTTTTACAGTAGGAGAGCCAAATGCTCAAATGCAATCTATCGAAGAATATGTACACCTCCCGCTGCGCATTGATCCTTTCGCGGAGAAGGGCACCGCGCACCGCCACCGCACGAGTTCCACAAAAGAGAGGAAAGAGAAAGGGAAAAGCAACAGTGGAACTTGAGAGAGAAAAGCTGTGTCCACTGCGTGTTGTCCACACCGCTAATCTCCGTGCAGGCGCAGACGAAAACACAAGCAAACATCATAAAAAGAGACACAAATTTCAAGAGTGAAGGCATGAGCGGGGCGTGCAGCCTCGGGATCCCCGCGCATTGCTGCCTCAACTGCGCCAGCTTGCGGTGGAGCACTGTCGCCAATCCCCATTTTCTTTCAGCCTTCTTCACGCTGCGAAGCACTAGTACTTCTTTGTTGCTGCCGTTGTGGCAACGTGCCCGAAGTCGTCACCGGAGAGAGAGAGAAGCGAATCATCCTTTTCTGGTACGTAGAGGTGGTGGCGTCGCGCAACGGACGCCTGCAACAAACGAACGCACAGAGGAAAGAAAAGCGCAGGACGGGCGGATCGTTGTGTCCTTCTTCACCGTTGTGACCGAGGGCCTTTGCAGCGCTCGATAAGACGTTTGCAAACGGAAGGCCTCGGCACTGACTCCTCCTGCGTCGGGAAGACAAAGACCACAAAGCCAAGAAAAAGGGAGTACAAAGGAGCTCCGTGCCTCAAAGGCCCACGAATACAGAAAGGGCAAACAGAGAGCCTTCTTCCCTCGGTCGCATTGATACGCAGGATGCACAGCGACGTCTACGAAAAGAGAGAGGAAAAACAAATCGTGCACGTGCATAGGAATACCTGCATATATATCTAGAAGCGCGAAGCAGTAATATGAGTGAAAACCTTTGTGCTTGAAGTAGAAGAGAGAAGAGGCGCGCGAGATACAACACATTCCGCCCCTCCGCAGCATCGTCCTTGTAACGCACACAGCGAAAGGAACTTAAAGAAAAAAGCAGAAACGAAAAACAATTAAAGAGGCGGGCCGTGGAAAGAGTTGCGCAGCACGCGTATACAACAGATGTGTGCTGCACCGCCCCTTTCGACGGTGCCTTGTACGCACAGAACAGGGAAAAAGCGAAACAGCTAGAAGGTACTCACCTGTAGGAGGGAAACGAGATTGAAATAAAACCTTGTGTGCATGCTGCAGTTCGTACTACAGTAATTAAAAAACAGAAAAGAACGCAAAGGGCACTGCTTTCACCTGTCGAGTACAAGGGAGACGGACTTCATACGCGCGTGTGTGGGCTCCAGCGACGGAAAGAAGGGGTGAAATAAATCAACCGGAAGAGATTGCAGTTCTCTCCTCAGCGGAGAAGAACACACACACACACACGTCCCAAAGGGCAGCGACAACCGGGGGAAGAAAAGAAAAGAAAGGTGGAGAGCCCAAAGGACAGCAGAGGAGAGCGAAATCAATTGGCGTGCACACACGCGCTCATTAATTCTTTTCATGCCGCGTGCGCTCCGTAGTGTTCAACGCCAGCTGCGTTCCTCCCCTTCCTGCCTCCTTCATCGTCACCGTACGCAGGAGTTGCTGCGGCACGGTGTTACGCGTCGATTGCGCTTCTTCGAACGCACCGTCTCTGTCCTCCTCTGTGTACGCGTTGGAGCAGCTGCGAATGCCATGACAAGAGCCATGGCGGCGACTACGGCTTCTCTTCATGCGTTCCACAAGGGCGGGGCAGGTACACAGCGCGGCCGTACACCTCATCGTCGGTGTCCATGATGCAGAAGTACCGCGGCTTCGCAGACGATGAGGAGGAGGAATTCTGTGAGGTGCCCGCCGGGGGGACGTACATGATGCACCCTCCCTTCGTCTCCGCCTCCTTCTGCGACACGGGACGTGCCACCAGCAACCACCTCGCGAAGTCCTCTGCCTCCGTCACGGCAACGACGCCCATCGGCACCGTCACGTCTGCGAACGCCTTTGCGGTGACGTTGCACGGAAGCGCCGGCGGCGGTCGACGAGCGCGGTGGCCCCGGGAAGAGTAACGAGCGATGCGCAGCCGAGTCATCTCCAGCGCAATCTTTCTACGCTCCTGCGGGGTCATTGCAGTGGCAGCGAACATGATTACGCGGCTACGATGGGGCGCGTACACGTGCGTTTCGTTTCTCTTTGGAGGGGTAGAGGGTCTTTTGACGGAGATGGCAGTGAAAGTGAATGGTGTGTGTGTTGGCGAGTGAGGAGGATGCATATCACGTAGATGAAAAGCGTAAAGAAGAAGAACGCACCTGCACTGCGCGCGTTGCTCTCCTCGGATGGACGACTGAAAAGTACAGGTTCGACGTCGACATTTACGTGGTAGGGTTTCATGAAGGAACCATACAAGACAAACAAGGAGAAGCAGGGGATGAAGAGGAGAGTGTGCCGGAGACGGCAGTGCAAGGGAAACAACAAACCACGAAAAAAAAGAAAAGCCAACCTTGACATTCAAGGGTCTGCATGCAGAGACAGCAGTTTTACGCACCCGCCTTTGCTCTCCGCCTCCTCGGCGGGAACCGGACGCGCCACCAGCAACCATTCCTGCAGCTCTTCGCTACAACTCATCACCACGTTGCCCAGCGGCCCCGCATCCTCGAGGGAGAAGGTCATAACGGTTGTGACAGAGAAGTGCCGCAGGGAACCGCCGTAGTACTCAACATCGTTGCTGACGATTGGGGGGGGGGGGGAAGCGGAGGGTTCCGTAGTGGAAGCGGCACTTGTGGTGCTCCTCCGAGTTATCTCCATCATGGCGGTGTCTCATTTTGAAAGAGCCGTAGAAGAAGTAAAGTGAAGTGTGCTCTGGCTCTATAGTAGCTGGGTATTACGTTTCGTGGTTGATGTAGCACATGAAAGCAGTCCGTTCCCGTGGGGGTTAAGTGCCCTGATTGGAGTCCGAGCCGCATGCAGCGAGGCAGCAGCAAGATAACTACCGCAGTGTGTCACAAGTAGTGGAGATAGAGGGAAAGGGAGAGGAAGAAGGTTTACAGAAAAACAAAGAAGTCGGAAAGGAGTCGCCGGCGTTACCGAATGCGCACCAGCTCCACAACCTTTGTTGCCGCTCGTCGACGTACCGGTATTAAATCTGTGAAGACCTGCACCGCTGGAAGTAGGCCTGGACAGCAGAATGCAACCCAAGCTGTGCGACTCTTCTATTTGCAGTCCGCGTGCTCAGGTCGATCAAACGGAGCGCAGAGGCTTTGCTGGTGCGCCACCGTAAAGCTCTTCATTTTTCTTTTCCGCGAAAATGAGCCGTAAGAGAAGCGCAGAGAAAAAGAAAGCGTTCAACGGAACTTCCAGACGCAACAGGACGAATTTATGAGGCGCTTTGCGGAAATGAAAAAATAAAGGAGCGGAAAGAAGAAGAGAAGATTTATTTTTATTTTTTAACAAGGCAAAGGCGACGGCGCACTGTTCACGTGCGTGGTCGATTTCATTTCTAAATAGCACCGCATGAATCCTATAAGAAAGAAGCTTAAATCATGTACAAAGGAAGATAGAAAAATAAACACTTATCGTCACAGAGCAGCGGTGTCAATAAGGACAGGGAAAGAAAATAAAATAAAATAAAAGAAAAGAAGGGGGAACCTCATGACGACTGACCACAGGATCCATTCATGATCCTTTCTCGGCGCTGTCGTTGTTCGGCACGGAGGTGATCTACGGCATATTTCAATCGCTCGAGCGCAAAGCGAATGCAATCGCCGACCTGACGCAAAGATGCGCAGCAGCGGTGAAAAAACCAACAATAAAGGGAGTCAACAGGGGAAAGTGAAAACAAAAGTCGGCGGGCTCGAACTGCTCTCGGCGGTGTATTGCAGAGTGATAGAAATGATGAGAGCGAACACGATAACTTCGATTCAATAAAGATGGAAAAACCACACTCAAGTTAAAAGGAAAAGGAATCAGAAGCACCGTTTGACTTGCCAACAAAACAGATAGTAAAAATAATACTAGTAAGATATAAGTACAGGCATCGTCAAGGAGAGAAGAGAAAGAAAAAACACTGACGTTTGCTTAAGCTGCGTTCACGACAGTACGGAGGAAAAATAAATATAAAGAGGGCTCATGTATGCAGAGCAGACCACCGAATGGTACTTCGAAAGGGAAAGTAAAGGGGCTGTAAACACCGGTCACCACAGGCAAGCACGCACAGCGAGACGAGAGAGACTCCTCCGCACCCCCGTCCATTAGTCGCATACAAGCCTTTTACTTCACGTTACGGATGGTGCAAAAAGAAAAGAAAAGGAAGAAATAGGGTCCGGCAAATGTCCTTTCAGCTCCTGGATTCCGTGGCAGATGCGCTATCCACCATCTCCATGTACCGCCGTTGCTCAGCGGGTGCGCTTCTGCACCGCATTCAGTTTCCGCGTCCATCTGCCTGTTTGATTGCCCGACGAACAAACGAGCGTGCCATGTTCAGAGTATTCATTATACTGAGACTTGACACACACACACACACACACAACCAACAACGTGCGAAGACTCAAAGAAGATACATATGTATTTAAAACAATTAAAGAGATGTTTAGAAAAATAGTCTTGTTTTCTTTTGTCCGCGACAAACGAGCGTTTGACTGCCCGTCTGTCCTCCGAACAAACACGGTGAAGCGAAGTAGTCGAAGGCAACCGAATGCCCTGCCTCAACAGCGATGAATCACAGCGAAGGAAGAAAAGAAGGGGAAACACAACTCGATCAGTTCTCCGTCGGCACCGAAGTCCCCAGCAGGCACACCGAAGGGGGACTCTCGCCCACGTCAAACAGCTCACTGGTGCGCATTGACGCATCTGTGCAGCCCGCGTCCGAGGTGTCCCAGCACTCCCTAGTGGAAACCATAGATTCCTCATTTCTGTCTGCGGCGCTCTTCTCACACCGCGGGATGTACTGCGCGCGTCCGTACACGACGTCATCGGGGTCGGTGATGCAGAAGTACTGCGGCTCTGGTGGGGACTCGGTGGGGTCTGCATGCAGCGACAGCAGTTTTACGCACCCGCCTTTGCTCTCCGCCTCCTCGGCGGGAACCGGACGCGCCACCAGCAACCATTCCTGCAGCTCTTCGCTACAACTCATCACCACGTTGCCCAGCGGCCCCGCATCCTCGGGGAACAGGTCATAATAGCTTTCACAAGGAAGCGCCGCAGGAGACCGCTGTAATACGCTGGAGCGCTGTTGCTGGCGATTAGATGCAGAGGATGGCGCATTCGAAGCGGCACTCGTGCCGCTCCTCATATTACCGCCCAGGTTGTAGTACCACCACATGGCTTTAACGGACCAAAACAAGGGGAAAAAGAATTCACCACAGTTTGTGGATTTTTTGCACTGATAAACGAAGTAAACTAGAGACAATAAGCACACCTCTTTTTTCTTTAAAACTGCACTTCGCTGGGTGCGTAAAAGGTCGATAACGCAGAGCAGTCAGTAAATGTTGTGATTAAGAAAAAGAGAAAGGTCTTTTTTTTGAAGGTTCGTCTTCCAACACCGGTAGAGGTATGGCGGATCGATGGAAGACGACGCAGACGTGTGTGCCTGAGCGAAACGCACGTGACCGTGGACGATGAAGTGCGCGCGCCGTCAACAAACAGAATCAGAACAGACAGAGAGGAGATAACACGAGGGAAAGAAAGCAGAGGGAAGGAAAGCACGACAGTGATGAACCGCATTGCAGAGAAGCGAATTCTGCTTTGAAAGAGGCGCGGTTGTACATGTCAACGAACGCTCGTGGATGCGTTTCGTTAGAACTCGAAGAAATTGATGAAGGACTCCAGTGGAAGGGGAAACCCACGCGACGGCAAGAACCGGCACGGACCAGCAAGATGCGATGAGTGGACATAAACGCCTGCACGCCCATCATGCTCCACCACAGGCGATGTTCGAGAGGTCCGATCATTCGCCTCACCTCACCGTTTTTTGCTCTTGACTCCGCGAGGAGCTTTTCATCACCGTATCCAACAACATAAAGAGTCAAACGAGGCCTTCCCATAATAGCAGGAATTAAACCAAGACAAGAGAAGAGAGCAAGAAAAAAAAAAGCGAAGATACGAAAATGGCGAACGTCAAAAGAAAAGGAAAAAACCCAGCAGAGATGCGGTGCAGTTCGTTGTCCGCAGCGTCAGCCGCAGCAACTTCCGTATTCATCAACCACTCACATCAAAGCACCCATCACCACTCTTATAGACGGATTCGGCGATCTTCGGAGGGAAGAAAGAAAAATGCTAGCGTGCCTCCTGCGAGCGGGGCGACGAGAAATAAAATGCTATGAGTGACGCCGCCTTGTTAACATTCAGTGCTGTTACTTTACTGCATATTCAATGACTGATCAGAGGCTTCTGCACACCGTTAAACAACGCCTTTTTCTTGCCTTTCAGCACACTGTACGTCGTGCAATGTACGGTGAGAGTTGTAGAAGTGCCGTCTGTTTCATTGAACAGATACTTAAATATAGAAGGCAAGTAACCTAGAAGAAAACAGATTGAATCGTACGGAAGGAAGAACAAAGAAAAAAAAAGGCACTCCGAGAAACAAAAGCTTTGGGAAATATGTGGTAGCAAATAGAAACAGGGAGAAAACACACGATTGCGCACGATACATCGGTGTCTCATGCACAACAACAAGAGAGGCGGTAGCCTGTTGTGAGAGAGCGGATCAGGAAAAAAAGAAGGCCAGCAGCCTGATACGAGTACTCCATACTGCTCTCGAGAGGTCTTCATTTACCTCATAAAAGCAAGACAAAGGAAAGAGAGAAGGGAAAGAGTACGAAAACAAACAATTGCTACTAGTGAAAGCCACTCATTCACTCCCGCTGAGTCAACAGCGGTATTAAAAGAAATTGTAAAAAAGAGAAAAGTTCGGCAGTGTTACTATCCACACAAGTCTCTCGAGAATAAAAAAAGGCATACTTTTAAAATTCAGATACTTCTACGAGACAGAGTTAGCCCCTCAAAACAAACAAAAAGAAAAACTGAAAACACAGGACCCAAAGAACGACAATAGTTCCGTTATCGTTCCGTTTAAGCGGTCCAGCTGAAAACTGTGAGAAATGCCGCCTTCATCAGCTTTTCAAACACTCTTGTCAGTATGCACAGGCCAGCAAAGATGATATAAAAGAAAAAAGAAAAGGCAACAGCAAAAAAACGACTCGTGTTGTCTCGCCTCCCCCGCTGCCGATAAGGTGGTTGTGCTGCGATGGACAAATCACGAGAGTTTGGCGTTTAATAAATAAATAAGAAAGAAAGAAGCGACGATGCGGCGGCTCTTTCTTTGGCCCCACGGTGTAACCTCCTTTCGAAGTCTCACCGTTTAGGAATGCGTTTCGCTGCGTCGCACTGCAGATCTTTTGCATCGTGCGAACACCGTCGCCTCGGAATGGATGGCCAGGAAACAGCATCAGTTGCTTGGATAAAGATGAAATGAGGATATATATATATGCATATACAGATAAAACAAACGGGGTGACCAAAAATGGAAAGGCAGAAAATAAAGGTCGGGAGGAACCATTCAAAATGGCGATGTTGCTTAGAAAACGGTAAAAGAGGGAAGAGAGGGAGGGAGTCAACGAGGTGAGATTGTAAAGGACACCGTAGAAGCAATAGAGGAGGTACAGCGCGCTTTTCATTCTGCCCACTACAAAATCGGCTGTAAAACACACAAAAATAGGTACGAAACCGGTGTATCAGAAACGCTTGAGAAAAAGGAGGTGTTCATCGAATGCAGTAGCCTTTGATGACTTCTTCCCTCTTCAGCGAAGCTGCAGTTCTCACTCAGGCCTAACACGCGTTACACGTCAACGAGAGCTCTCCACAAAGAGAATCGGCAGCAAGGTCTGTCGGGTGAGCACAGCGCGCCCTCACACGAGCTTACCCTGGCGGCGCGGACACGACAGACCCACACGACGGACGCTGCTGGTACGTCGATCGGCCAAAGACGTCATCGTCGGAGTTGCGGAAGTGGAAGTACTGCACCGGGTGCTTTGGGTCGCCGGTGACGTACGCCATGCAGCCTCCGTCCAGCTGCACGGCCTCCTCCTCCTCTGACACCGGCGTTGCCACCAGCGCCCACATCTGCGCTTCCTCTCTGCACTTGATGACGACGGTGCCCGTCGGGCCTGCATCTTCGGGGTAAATGCCGTAGTAGTTCGTGCAGGGCAGGGCTTTGGGAAGATGCGCGTACTGCGATGCCGTGAGTCGCGGGATGAAGGAATGGCGACGGTTGGAACTCCTTTGGTGGTGGTGGTGGCCTCGGTGGAACAGTGGCATGAGTGTGCAATCAATAATATTTTTAGCAATACAGCGAACTCGCCTATTCAGGGCTGCACGAACGCAGGAGAGGGCGGTGAAGGACACCAAGCGTACCGACAGGAGAGGTGGATTAGGAGTGTAGTGTGTAGTGAATTGGCTGCCAAACGACAATTGAATCAAACAACTGCGAAGACAGGTTTTTGCGACATTACACGGATAAGAACGGCGAAAACAAAAATGAGAAGGTGGTTCTTCTTCTGTGAGGAGAAAGAGAGCGTGCAGGTGGAGTGTTTTGTGCCAATGGTTGTTCCGTAGGAGGGAAAAGAGAAAAACAAAGAATAGTTTTGCGGAAGACTCGCGCTGGTCAGGCAGAGTGGTTCGCCGTAAAGGATAACAAACGGCGAGTAGAAAAGCCACCTTTGACCGTCCATTGTGGGTGTTTTGTTTCTGTGTGTATGAGAATGGCCGCCACACACGATGGTAGCTGTGAGCAGGCACTCTACGCACTTCGCGGCCTTCGCTGCAGGCACTTTACCTTTGAAGTCGGCGCCACGCAGTTTTTCTGTTTTCCCCATCTGCTGAACATCATCATCTATCCACCGAGAGAACCAACGCGGATGAAGTGTGCCGAACAGGCCTCGCATCCATACTGGCTTCTTCCGCTACGGTGCGTACAACTTCAATTTGGCAGGACGTCCATGAGAAACAGTTTGACACAAAATAACCCACGCGGTGGAGAGATCTTCCACCGCGTATTTACAGAGAAAGAATCGAACTGACTGCGTACCCCCCGCTCACACACACATTGATATAGATGTAAGAGGAAAGCACCAAACAATTGAAAAAGAGGGAGTTTAATAGTTAGGAAAAGCAGATCTTTTGAACAGCATGGAGGATAGCGGCGCAATAGTCATAAGAGCCAAAGGAAACGGGAAGCAAAATAAATAAATAATAGGGCTGACCCAGCTGTGTTCCACACAGACGCCCGGGGGCGGCTTCGTGGAAGGAAAACGAATGGAAAAGGGCGACATGCTTCAACGTGTGAATAACAGAGCATCTACGCGCAGCGACGCAGGCGACTACTTCTCTGCACTTTACAGGTTCGACGGTCCGCAACGCCAGCCACGCAACGTCACGCACACTTCTCAGGACGCAGGTGATGCTTGCCGTGCTTCACACAGCACACGTCTGGACTTCCGTCAACGCTTCATCGGACAGAGCGCCGTACGACGTGCCCACGTCCACGTGCTTCGCCGTGGGAAACTGCATCGCCGCAACGTAGTCGCTCGTCACCGGCGACCCGGGCAGCAGCGGCGGCACCAGCATTCTCTGATACGACGCACTGCCGTAAATCTCTTCCGCATCCTGCGCAAACTCGTAGTACTGCGGGTCCACCTCACCGCTGTCGTCGACGTACTGCAGACAACCGCCTTTCGCTACGGCGTCGGCGGCAGAGATGGGCGTCGCCACCAGCCGCCACACGCGCATGTCCTCGCTGTCATGAATCACGACGTGGCCGAGCGGGCCGGCGTCTTCGGGGAAGAGCTCGTAGTAGTTGTAGCACGGGATTGCTGCAGGGAGGTGACGCGGTGCGGTGGTCGTCGGGGTGGCGAGAACAGCGGTGGTGACAGTGGAAGAGCGGGCAGTGGAGGACGCAGCTCTCGTGCCGTTCCTCGACCGTATTGAGCGGCGCCACAAGTGGAAGCGTCCCATGTTTGAAGCGCAACAACCGCAGAAATGAAGAGGGCAGCTGCTTTGTAAGTTACGTGCTTCCAAAAACAGAGGCGGTGAATAGAGCAGGAACAACACAGTCGGTGTGCGAAAACCGCTTTTGCGATGAAAAATGGAAGTTGAAATATTGCTGAGACGGACTTACTCACTTGTGCTGTCGATTCTCATTTTAAACTTATATATATGGTTTTTTAATTTGGGATTGATGGCTTGATTGCCTTAGAGAGCAGTGAGCGAGTTCGCAACCTTCAATTCTCCTGGTGCGAATCAATTGAAGCAACAATGAACAGTCGAGCGAAAGGGAGGGGTGGGAAGTCCACTGCTCGCCACAGCATACCTTTTACGGTGCTGTTATCTTGTGTGTATCGGATGAGAGAAGCACAGTAAAGAGGTGTTGCTTTAAAAGAGACGAGAGTGAGCGGGTTGGCACACTCTAAAAAAAAAAAATATATATAGCGAGAGAATAGAAGACGGTGAGATAATAATAAAAGAGAAATAACCAAAAAGAAACGTCCATGGCAGGCACATAGCAGGCGCATCGTTCCTGAACAATCAGGCGGGTACTTCGGCAGGACAGCGTCTGGTATTGCATCCAGTGACACACATGGTATGCGCCGCATCATCCAGTGCTCTTCAGTGGCAATGAAGCGCTGGCAGTGGAGCAGGAAAGTAGCGTTTTTCGACTCTTCCCACCACGATAGAAAGGTGAGTGCCATAACTTCCATTTTGTTTGTTTGCTGAGATGAGTTTCGCCTACCTGTGACGGTACCGCACGAAAGGAACCTTCGTTGATGCGTGGAGACCGCGGCACCTCCTCCATCTACTGATAGGTCGGAAGGGACAAGGAAAACAGAGAATGGCTGTAGGCGTAGTTTGAAACGAACAGTAAGTGTAAATCACACGGTGCTCCTCTCTTCGGGCTTTCCTCATTCCCATGAACTCTCAGAAACAAAAAGCGTAAGGAAATAAACAACCGCCTAAATCGAAGCCCTGTGGTGTTATTATTATTATTATTATTATTATTATTATTATTATTATTATTATTATTATTATCCTCTTTTCATAGGAGAGGACGGGCAGGTGATCGGGCACTGCACCTTCTCGCGGATGAAACGAGAGGAATCGGTGAAACAAGCAAACGAAAACACCGATGAAAAACGCTGGCCGGTCACACCTTCCAAACTGAATAGGAGAGAAGCTGCCAAGAACAAGAAACGGTGGACGAGAAAGAGAAAACGAGAGAGAGAGGAAGAGAACCAACACCAAAAGAGGGGAGCGCTCTTCCCACTTCACTGAGGAGCCGCCAACCCCTCGAGAGGGGCGTCCATCGCACCCAGCGGACCCTCCCTGCAAACCAAAGGTGACAGCTGCCAATTGCCTCACGGCGACATGAAAACTTCAAGGGCAGACAGCGTCACTGAAGTAAGTGACCATCGCTGCTGAAAAGCGGCAACCTAGAAGGAAAGAAAAAAGAAGTTAAACGTGAAAGAGAAGGTCCGATGAACGGCGCCACACTTCGTAAACGGTACTATTCGGTCTAGAATGGTGAGGCGTGGGCGTGACGGATGCAGAAGGAAAACAAAAACAGGAAAGAGTATGTAGCTGAAACACGCGCTTCACCATGTTGCTCGTACGAACGACCAGAAACAACACAAGAAGAGATGGCGTATGAAGATAAAAATGAAGTTAAAGCAAAGGCTGACAAAGTCGTTGGAAAAAGAAGCGAGTATTCATCTAAAACAGAAATGCAGCGCGGGAGACGAAAAGAACGCACATGGATTATCTGCCCCGGAGAAAATCAAAGCACAGCGTATTGGAAGCAACACACACCGGCATACACCGAATCATATACAAAAAACGAAGTAAAGAGCAGGCATTTCCGGAAGCGAAACGCTTTTAGATATTTTGCGGCTTCGGTTTTCTGCTCCGTTGACGCCCGTTCGTTTGTGCCCGAAGGCGTTATTCTCCCACGAAGTACTGCGAAGTACCGTAGGGGGACGGGCACGGCTGAAAACGAAAGTACTGCGACGGGGGGCCTTTGGCAGATGCCGCCGCGTCATCGTCCGTCTCCATCATCTCCTCGTCTCTCGGACTGAAGGAGCTGACCGTGCTCGACTTACTTCGTTCACTAGTGGCCGACAGCGGGGAGGGAACCTCGCACTCCACAATCACGTAGCCGCCACCCCACGAGGACGCGTGAACGTCCCTCGGGATGGACACGTGTGAGGGATGCGTTGCCCCTTCTGCCGGGAACATACGCGTATCCAGTAATTCTATCATCTCGCGGTCCGCTGGTGGTCCACGTTGTCCGTCGTGTGGTTTCGCTTCTCCTTCTTCATCGTGCACGGCGTCGCAAGCGTGGACTGGCACAACCACCGCTACGAGATCAAGGCGCCAGGCGGCCAGCGTGGTCTCATCTTTGATCACGACGTTGCCGAGTGGGGGATCCTCGTAGCTGAAGTCATCCGGCGCGGGCAGTGCCGCGGGCAAACACTCTCGGCGACGACGATGAAGACCACCACCGCGTTCCTCACGGCCCGCAACGAGAGACGCGAGACGACGACGCGCTTTGAGGCGGTCCTCGATGTAGAGGTACGTCAGCAGGAGGGCAAAGGCGCTGAACACCGCCCAGCACGCAACCAGTGCCACGACGACGACGGAGGAAACACCACGCATAGTGCTGCCGGTGGAATCGATGCAGAGGACCAGTCTAGAGAGAGAGACTTGAATTTGAGATAAAAGGTAGTTGTGCGCGGTTTGGGCAGCTTGTTCTTCTGATCACGGAATATTGTAAACTGGCTCTTCTTTTCTGTGATAGAATGATCATCAAGCCGCACTTCGGTAGGGCTGCTGGAATTTGAGAAAAGAAGAGAACTGTGGACGAGCGAAGAAATACTAATAAGAGAATAAGTCCTACTAGAAGATCCTACCGCCAAGAGAGAACAGATAAAGGTCTTTTGCAGTTTACAAAGAAACAAGCGCTTTACAAAAGCTAAATAACGGCTTTTGCGAGTGACCGTCTGTTCGCCACAGGCACAACGACATGAGAAAGGAGGAGAACGGAAGGCAGGAAGGAAATCAAAGCAGCGAAGAAGGAGGCACAGTTCCTCAACCAGAGCGGGCGCTGTCGGGGTATGCCTATTGACACAATGCGGCACCTTACACACATACATCAGCGGAAAGTTGTGAGTGGTGAGTGGCGGCAACAGTTTTGATCAAACCAAAAACTGTAGAGGCCCTTTCGAGCGAGTAGCATCGATAAGAGGCGGATACTGCCACGCAGCCATCGAGGTGCGTCTGGCAGCATCTCAATTACGCTATCCTATTTTGCATAGGTGTTGCCGGTTCTTCACATGGTCCAATGCAACGCCATATTAGTTATGAACAGATAAAACAGGAAATCTCAACACGCAACGCAAAAAGGGGGAAAAATAGCGGTTGTCACGAAGAGGCGACGCAACACCGGAAAAGCATTAAAAGACACAAAACAGTGTCTCTCCGTAAGAGGGCACGCTGTAGTAGAGATGAAGCATAATAACGGTCTCACCAACGAGGCAGTAAAGACCAACTTACGAAGAAGCAACACCCAGACCGATGAAAACGGTCGGCGTGCATAAACCAAAAAAAAGGCGAAAGCGTATTTTCGCAAATCACTGTTTCTTTCTTTTTGCAATAAGTCGTTTAAAAGCAATCTTATGACTCCTACATGCGGACCACTAGGCCCGCCGGAGCTGAGGCCACACGTTGCCTGACATACCTCACATGATGAATGGCAGAAGTCTGCGAACACACGCGTGACTTCGCAGAAAAGGGCAACCAAAAGCCGGAAAGAAACCTACATAAAACAAATTACTTTTACTGTGAAAAACAGAAGAGAAACTGATAAATGCAGCAAAAGTAAGACCTGCGGAGAGGTGCAGGAGCATGTGAATGCAGAGAAGCTGCAAGAAGGGAAGAAAAATCATGTTATTCTACGACACTCATCCACAGGAAAACAAAACCGTGACGAGGGAGAAGACACGGCTGAAAGAGGTATAACCTCGACACACAAATACATATGAACAGCTCTGTCAAACGGTCATTCTCTCTCTCTCGCACTCGTCTGGCTGCAGTGGTTCGGAAAGGATCGCAACGATGCTGCTTTGATCGATCGTCACCGCGTACAGCAGAGCGTAGAGCAACACCAAGCACAGGCACACCATAAATCGATAAGAAACGAGTGATGGTGTGATTTGTTTGCGCAACGTTGAGCTTCCACTTCTGCGCATCTAAGAAATTGGAAAAAGAAAATCACATGCAGCGTGGGACGACGCGATGTATAAGAGTCCTCCAGATTCACAAATAAAAACAAAAAAGAGCAGAGTAGTAAAAAATGCTATCTCCTTTCCTCACAGAGGCCCCTCCCCCCTCTCAAAACTATTACACCTCTATAGCCGAAATCTAGTGGAGCTGGAGACCACATTGGCCTGTCCTCTCCCGCGAGGCGTAACGTGTACATTCATGCAAGTCAAAAATAAAGTAAACGATGGCAACAGCCGCAATACCCCCTCCCTTCTAAGTTGATTCTTCGTCAACGGAACACCTACAGAGCCGGACACGGCAACAGGAGACAAAAACAAGATGGTGAAGAAAACGACTCATTCAGCTTGGGGAGTAGAAAATGTTTAGAAGCAAACAAAACTAAAAGAAAAAGAAGATCGGAAAGAAGAAAACAGACGTCGGTTCTTAAAGAACCAACCAAAAATGTACACGCGCGGAAGAATAAGAAACATGGACAATTGAAACGAAGTCAACACGCAAAGCCATAATAATAATAATAATAATAATAAGACGGAGGTGTTTTGCCTCTTCGCATTTCTGTCACGACACGCAGCTGCTGTGATGTGTGTGTTGCTTCCTCCGGACACACAAAGATCGCCTTCTGGTAGGCATTGGGGGCTGCGCGCCAACGTGCGTCAAAACAAAAAAGGGCAGGCGCTCTTCTCAAGCCAGAGCGACCAGGAATCGCGCGATCGACTGAAAGAGAACAACTACACCCCATTATAAACGTTGGGAGACATTCAAAAGAAAGGGACCACTACTGCCCCGTTTCTCCCCCGATAAACTGGTTGCAGCGTGCGGTAGCTACACCCACTTTTCGTCCCCGTGTTGATTCCATGCTGCGCCACCCCGAGGAGCTTCTTCCTCATTCGTGGTGGTGTACTTCGACTCGCCGTAGACGCAGTTCGAGGGCAGACATCGGTAGAGGTGCATTGTGGGGCGAGCAGCCGGCAAGGCCTCCGAACTTGCGCTCGGCGCCACCGCCGCATCGCCAGTGGATGCTTCAAAAGCGGCCGAATCTTCATTCCCATGTGAGCCACTGGGAGCGTCGCCCACACGGTTGCCGCACACCACAATCACGAAGCCTCCCTCCTCAAGAGAATGGCCGTACGGCGTCGCACCGTCTTCGATTTCCAGGCCTTTGTTAGCCCTATTACGGCTGACGTTCGCCATGACGGTCGAACGAAGGATTGCACGTCGGGTGGTAGATAACGGTTCATTGCTGTCTTCGACAAACGTCTCCGCGAGTCCGACCGGCGCCGCAGAGGCTGAAGCAGCAGCAGCGGGCGCACTGCCCTGCTGCAGCGAGTTCGCCTCCTTGTTGGCCACCGCGTCGCCCAGACTCGACGCCTCCACCTCCACCAACTCCCCGCGCAGCTTCTTGAAGTCATCCGCGTCGTTGATGATGACGTTGCCGAGGGCGGGGCATTGGTACTTCAGCGTAGCCGGCGCCGCCTCCGCTTCCGGGAGAGCAGGTCCGTGTCGACGGCGGCGCTCGGCGCGGGCAACGGCTTGCGCTGCGCTCTGCTCCGCCTCTCGTGCGCGGCGTGCGATGGCGGCGTTGTTAAAGCGACGCGCGCAGGCCAGCAAAATGCCGATGAAGAACGCGAGGAAGAAGACCACCAAGCAGCACGCCACGATGGGGTTCCGGTGCTTTGCACGCATCCGCGATGATGGCCGCAAGTGAATGGAGGGAAATAGTAATACCAAAGAAAAACAAGAAAGAATGATCCGTTGCAGCTGCGTGTTTTCAGCAACAACAAATGATTTAGGGAAAACGAAAACGAGTTGGCAATCAGCAGAAAAGAACACCAGAAACGTGTTAACATCGATCGTTAAAAAACAAAAGCAAAAGTAAAGATAGCGGAGCCGAACAGCTTCAACAGTGTGCGAACGGGGTAGAGAAGAAGAAAGCGCGATGCGGTTCACTGCCGTGCAGGACAGGGGAAGACAAAATCCACGATAAGGACCCGTCGCACCCACACCGCAATAAACACCACCGCACACACGTCTCTGCTGCCGTTGTCGCTGTCGCTCGTCAACGCCTGCTTAGGAAACGATTCAGCACTGGAGAGGAAACAAAAGAAGATCAGAGGGAGAACAACAAAGAAACCCCAACAAGAAGATAAACAGAGGAGATTTAACGCAAAGAAACAAATGAGAATATTTGATTTTCATTTGGTGAGCTTCACAGCGGCGAGGGGGGGGGGGCGGGATGGCCTGTGGTTGAACGTGTGCGGCGCATCCCTGTGGTAAGTGTAGCGTGTCTGCAAACTTCCCGTCGCCTCGCATTACGTTGACGTGCACGAGTGTTCCGTGCGGATGACGCCTCTTCCAGCAGAACCCAGTAGTCACCTAGTAATTGCGTTTTTCATTGTTTGTTTTCTGTTTCGGCTAACTACCGCGAGTTCAACTCTCATAAAAGAAAAACGAAAAACAGACATCAAAACACAAAGCCACTACGGAGGCACGTTATGTTGCTCGCGACAATGGCGAAAGATGTTAGCCTCTACACTAGCGCCGCGACTTCACGTTCTCGTGACCGTAGTTGTGTAGAATAGTGGTGTGTGGTCACCAGAGAAAAAGATACTTTAGATAAAGGGAGCATAGCACCTCCACCGCAATAATAATAGGTAGACACATACGGAAAGAAGATATCCAAACTATAATAATTAACAAGCACTGTAGAACGAAGAACGAGGAAAACAGAAATATACGTTGTTGTCTGATTTCCACAATTGCTGTACGGCGGCGCGAATCTCGCCTCGAGCGCAGCACGCCATGCAATAAACTTTTGAATCGAAGCTTCGCGCTCCGCAAGCAACACAGTCACGCACCCACACTCTACATCGAACAGGGCATCCAGGGAACGAAAGACGACCGCATCTCGTCGGAGGGTCGTCTCCTCGAAGGCAGTCCCTTACGTCCGCCTGCCACTAACGTTGACGGTGTACGTTGGGGCTTCCGTGTGCTTCATGGTGGCCGACAGCATCTGCCCAGCGGACACCAGCTTTTGCTCTCCGTCGCTGCCACTGCTGCTGGCACCCTCCAACCCCATCGGTGGGTATCCGCCGGTCGAGCCAGGGAGATACCGAGCGCTGCCGTACACATCGAGAGAGGAGAGCTTTTCGAAGTAGTACCGCTTCTTCTTTTCCTTCGACGGTGCAGCTGCCGGGGTACTTGCAGGAGCCGGGTTGGGTGCGGATGGCCGTGACTGTTGTGGACCGCCGTCACCCGCTTCTGGTGGCGCTTCCTCGGTAGGCGACGCCTCCGTTTCGTTGGGGTTTTCGTCCTCGCTGCTCTCCGTCTCCTCGAGCACGACGTAGCCGCCCTTGTCCACCTGACGCACGCGGTGCTGCCGGTGAATGCGCAGTTTGTGCTGCTTGACACGGGGAGCGCCAGCGTGGTGCACGTGAAGAGGATCGTGGCGGGCGGCTCCGCGCACACCCGACAGCACCGCTGCGGCGCTGCGACTCCCTGTGACGATTGGCATGCTGTTTGCCGGCTCCATCACAAGTATCCGTGGCAGCGCCGGCGGTCGCAACAGTGCGGAGGCGCGTCGTCCGTCCTGCGTGCCGTCTTGACCTGTGAAGGACGGGGCGAGGTGGTGGGTGAAGGAAGCCGTATTCGCATCGGAGAGAGCTTGGAAAGAAGAACTGTGATCGACGAAACTCGCGGACTCACGGTGCGGCGTCGGTGAAGGTGGCTGCCGCGGTGGGCTGTAGGACTGCGCCGCGATCAAGGGGCCCTCTGGACCGTTTCGAAGCGCACCGTAGTGCTCCTCCGGCAGCGGCGACTTGCTATTCTTTCTCGCGGTGTCGTCTTCTGTGAGAAGTTGCTCCCCCGGCCGCGTGTGTCCATCGCTAAAGTGAGTCCGCTCCTGTGCTGGGACAAGCAGTCGCAGGCCACCGCGACTTCGATCTTGAAAGTGAGCAGAAGTCGCCGTCGTCGCAGGGGGAGCCCCGTCCCGTGCGGCCAGTGGAGGGACGTCAACGCTCATCATGTGGCTGCCGCTCATCCCGGGGCTAAACGACGAGGAGGCAGACGTCCCCCGCCGCAAGTGTGTGCCGTACGCTGGCATGCTCGGTGCGGGGGTCGGGTACGCGCTGACGAAGCTCATCGACACGTTGTGCTCATTGTCGAACGACCCCATCTTTGATGGCACCAGCACTGGACCGACTTTTGTCTTCCCATGCGGCACGGGCCTCCCCTGTCCGGAGGGGTGTCCGTTGACAAAGCTGCCGTTCATGGACACCATCTCCGTGGTGCTGAAGTCCACGCTGCTGCGGTCGTCGCCGGCGTCCTCGACGCGCACCAGCACCTCGCGCACGCGGTCCATTTCGGCCCGACTGCGGAAGATAACGTTGCCGGAGACGGGCTCGTCATTGGGGAAAAGGTCACCGTAGTTGTCGCACGGGATAGCGTCTGGGTAGCGAGAGCGTGAGGCCTGCGCTGCCGTCGCCGCCGCAGCGTTGACGGCACGACGGACACGTCGGCGGTGGTCGAGGACCGTCTTCAGAAACACGCCTCCGGCCACCAGCAGCACGAGGCCGATGCAGCCAAAACCGATGCCGACAATCGTACCGGCAGAGAGCTCGTCTCCCATGATGGGCAGGAGAGTGCAAAATGTGTTGATGGGGAGGTGGCGTTACCTTGCACAGATCTTTCGTAAGAACGCACGCCGAAGCACTGAAGAGAGAAGGAGTGCGGTGCAGGAGAGAGATGTGAAGAGCCGTTCTCTCTCCACCTGACTTTGTTGGAGAAGAGTAAAAAATGCTTCTAAAAAAAAGAAGGAGCCGCTCCCGGTCTACGAATCGTGGCTGCAGAGGCAGATGAGCAGCGACAACACAAATTGAGAGCCAACTCAAATCCGGATAAAATAAAAATATTTCGTTGGGGGTTTTAAACCCAGGTGTGCTCGTCGTTCAAGACGTTTTAGTGATAATACTCCTAATAAGTCGAGACTGAAGAGCAGTGCAGATACCCCAGGGCGGGTGCGCTCCGGTCTTGACCGCCGGTGAGGCACAAAGAAGATGAAAAGCAGCCGACCGATTCCGCTAGATGGTCGCTTCACAGAATGGCGTCTTAATGGAGGTAGAAAACAAGAAATACGATCGAAAGCACACGAAAAGAAACTTATGCGCTGAACCGATTACGACGCCTTACAGCGAAAAAGCTGTCGAAGCCAAAAGCGTAAGTATGAAGAAGAGAGAGAGGCGATAGAGTTGGTGAGTCAACAGCTGCGATGTAGAACCCGCAACGACGCACAAGAAAGGCACACAAGAATGCACCGTTCAGTTCAGGAGCAAAATCCTGGAGAGACCTCCGTATCATTAGTTCCGTGCGCTGCAATTTGCTTCCTTCTAAACGTCTGGTTCGCTGGACTTTACTCTCTGCGGGCACCGTGGAACTCGGTTCTTTTTTGTTTTGAATCTCACTACTTGCTGGTCTCCTCGGGCACACTGAGTATGCAGGCAGAGGAAGTAGAACAGCAGAAGGAAAAACGGCAGCACCGCGAGACACACCGAGAGGAGGCCGTCGTTGGAATAGCGACGCTGACCAGAAAAAAAAAAGAGGTCAACAGTGAAATATTGAAGAATGAGATGATGACAACACGTACGCAAACAACCACAAAGAAATGCCCACGCACTCGGTCATGTAAACCTCAACGACGGTAAATGAGCAGGCGAAGAGCACACTCACCAGTGCCGGCAGGGCCTCGCCCGGAATCTTTCCAGCGTATATCACCCCCCCCCCCGTCGACATCGGCGTTCACCTCACATACACAGCCTGGGAAAGCGCTTCATGCACCTGGTAGACTGCGCAGCGGTGTAGCAGCTCTTATCGATGTTAGCAGAATACACCGAAGACGACACGGTTCGTTAGAACCTCAGCAAGGCGGTGAGCGACTCAGCTTCAACGAAGCCACCGGAAAGAGGGAGTAGCAGACAGGAATAGTCAGAAGGCCCACCGTGAGCACAAGGAAGACCGTTACTGTTGCACTGTGTGGTTCCAAGTCTCTCCCATAAATGCCATCGCTTGATGGAAAGCGAGAAGGCAACGTTCCTATCCCGTACGTGAAGCAGATCGGTGAGAGGCGCCTATAGCCGTCAGAACAACGGTTGAAAACGGAGGTTGAAGGAGGAAGGGGAGGGGGAGAAGATAAACAGCAGGAGAACAAAAGGTTTACCCAACGAAGGTTGCCGAACGCATTCCAGGCCGCGCCAGCCGCCGCTGTCGTCTTGAATGACACACACACACACATAGAAATACAGCTACCGTTAGTAAGCGCTTTTCTGCATGAAGCGCAGCGGGTATTGAATGGAGGATGTAAGCAACGCCGGAACCCTCTTCGTATGATCTCTGAAAGATCCAAGAAGTCTTCTCCGTTATTTCCTGTTAATATTCCTTCAGCAATAGTCGAAGTTGTTTTTTCTAGGCTGTTTGATGGAGGACAATCCTATTCACCACACACACACACACACGTACACGGAAGCAAATATATATGTACTCGGACATGTGCACAAGACAATCTGCTCAAGTTCTAGCAAAGCCTAAAGAAGGCGTTTACCTGCGTGACGAGACAACGCCGCGGTCAATAGTCACAGGACGCAAGCAAACATAATAGAAACAGAAAAGAAAGAGGAGAAAAAGGAATTACAATTATAGGTGTTTTGATGGACAGATAAACAACGGAAATGCCGGCGATATAACTCAGCAAAGATGCATGTACGTGCAAACGGAGGCGAGCCTCTGCTTTTACGTCTGACCTCTTCGCTTACTGTACTTTCTTCTCCGTGTGTCCGTTCACTTGGTGTTCGTCACGTTCCCGCAGCTCCTTCAGTTTGGGGTCGATGTAGTTCATCTTGCACCAGTAGAAGCCGAAAGCCATGGTGATAAACAGCAGCATCCAGTTGTCCAGGAAGGACAGAAACGAGGTACGGCAAGCGGCTTCCATCGTGTCGGCGCAACGATCCTCTGCGGGTTTGAACACGTTGGGAGTGAAAAGAAGCTTTTAAAGAGAGAAATGGAGAGAGAATTAAGCGTAAAGCACGAGCAGGTGGGATGAGGAACCGATAAGAAGCAGATCTGAGATAACACAAGAAGATTGGAAGGGACAGAGGAAGCGATGATGATGGTGTGTGACAGAGAAAAAAGGCCTTGAGAACACCCTGAAACGCAGAGACACTTTGGCAGGAGAGCATCTTCGTGTACATCCGACGGCACGGTGATTAATTCTTCCGCAGAATAGATGCTCACCAAATCCAGCTGCCAAAAAAAAAGGCACATTGGGCGTAGGCACTAATGGCAACCGCTTGAACATCAGAAACAACACCACATGCTGCATGCCCTTCTAATAGTTCCCTTGCTTTGAGTTGATGCGGCCGTCAGGTCAATGATGGAAGCCACCTGCATTACAGTTTTAGATAAACAAAATGTGTCTTACCAGTCTCTTCTCTGCCCTTTAGGTTTGACGCGTGCAGCGAGACACGCAAACGCAGCGCTTTCCACGCGCGTGTGTGCGTGCGGCGAGGATATAGGTGAGCTGCAAAAACAATAGAAGGGGATCCCCAACGCAGTGGACAGCTCACGCTGACCTCGCCCTCTGTGCGCTCAATGACGCCTTTCGCGCGCCTTCTCTTCCTGCCACTCCTTCATGTGCGGCATGACGTACTTGAAGAAACAAAACACCACCACGACGTTCACAACGGCCACGAGCAGCGGCCAGCTGTTCAGCGCAGGCAGAAACTCGTTGTCTTTTTCCATTTTCCCTGTTTTTGCTGTTGTTTTAGAGAGATGAATTCAACGCCTATTGAAAGCGGCGCCGTCGTGTTGGTGTGATTAGCCGGTTCTCAGAAAGGAAGTCTATCGCTGTAGTGCTTTGCTGCAACTATCTTTTATATGCAGTGGATGAGAATTAGAAGGTGGAAGGAGGAAGCAAGTAGACGCACACCACTCTATAACGCGGAACCACACAAATCGATCAAATCCGCCAGGACGCTGTATCTTCTTGAAAACAACGCTCTTCTTCTTTCATTTTTTCAAGTGGCCAAAACCTGGCCTCAATCGGCCGCAATGGCAGTTCCTGAAATGAAGGATAAACACAGAATAACTCTTAAGAAACATTTTCACCACAACGAGCGTCATTCCATCGAGTCAGCAATTCGCTTATTGCTGCTTTGTGCCCAACTCACTCGTGTGTCTTCGTGGATGTTCTTTGCTTGTCTTACTTTTCGTTTTGGTCTTCAACAAACGACATTACTGACCTTCTGCCACTCCTCAACACGAACAAAGAGAACATCATCAAATACAAACTAATGGTCAAGCCACACACAGAGAGAGAGAGGGACACAGTGACACAAACAGAGAATGGCTCGGCTCACTTCAAATAATAAACGTCTACAGACTTCCCAGAATGTGACCAAACGAGGCGTTGTTGCCGTGCTCCTTCGTAAACAGCGCACACAAGTTCGGGTGCTCGCGCAGCGCCTGCGTCAGCACCTGATCCGGCAAATTGACCAAAAAGTTGCTGCTCTCCCGGTAGTAGCACTCCGTAAAGAGAATAACACCCTTCCACAGCTTCGGGTCGGTGTCCCACACCGAGGCCCGCTCCAGCGGCGTCAAGACGGTCTGCACGACGAACTTAATGAAGTCGATGTTGCGGGTGCGCATGAAAAGCTCCGCCGCCTCCAGCACCGTCGCCATGAGCTGTGACGGCACCGGCGGGGGATTCATGAGCAGCTGCAAGGCCTTTTGCACCTCCGCCGGTCCGTAGAGCCGCTCCGACGTCGTGTTGTCAAAGCTGCGAGTGAGCTCGAGGCACAGGCTCACCACCTCCTTGGTGGTTCCCACGCTGATCGGCGGCAGCTCCTCCGTCTTCTCCTTCTGCGAGGTGAGGGCGTTCGGCGTGCCGTCGTGCAGGCCGTCCAGGATGCCGCCGGTGGCACCGGCATCCGCGCCTAGCCCCCCTTGGCCAAGGTGCAGCCCGCCGTGGAGGGCGCTCGACCTCGACTGGCTCTCCTGCGGGGCGCGATGCAAAAAGACGAAGAAGTTCACCAGCGTCAGCCCACGCGCGACGCCGTCCTGGAAGGCCACCGGACACTTCACAAAGACCTCCCGCAGCACCTGAATCTGGAAGGCACGCAGCTCCGTCGCCTCCAGCACGTAGGTGCGCTCGCGTGCCGGCAGGCGGTGGAAGGCGCCGTGGTAGCGCCGCTGAAACTGCAGTTGCACCTGCACAAACAGGAGGAAGCTTTTCAGGTACGTCTGCCGCAGCTCCTTCGCGGAGAGGAAGCCGAGAAAGGGGGCGACGTAGCGGATGTCGGGCAGGGAGTGGGAGGTGCTGGAGTCACCAAGCGGGATGCCGCTCAGCTCGTACATTGCCTTTGCATGACCCACCACTGCAGTGCTGATGCTGCGCAGCGCTTCTAGTGATGCCGCAGCGGATGCCTGACTGGCGGGGTCGATGCCGTCCGCAGACGTTGCGAGGGCCGCAGCGGCTGCGGAAGCCTCCCGCGCCATCGTCCCGAGCTGCTCCCGCACGGCCCACAGCATCGCCTGCACCAGCGGACGTGCCTCCTTACACCGTTTCCGCAACAGAGGCAGCACGGCTGAGACGAACGTCGCCGCGTCGGCCTTGAAGAGGTCCTGCGTCATGCGCCGCACATCCACGTTCGCGGGCAGCAGCTGCATCATCGTGATGTTCTCACGATCCACGCACTGCTGGAAAACCTCGAGCAGGGCGGGAAAGAGGTCGCGGGGCTGACGGGCGCAGAGCATGAGGAAAAGACCGAGGTGGCGTTCCAGTACAACCGACATGCGTGCGCGGCCCTTCGCGGCTGCCTCATCGCTACTGCTGGTTGTTGCTGCAGCAGCGCCGGCTGTGGTGGCCTGTCCCTCCTCGTCGTCTTCGTGCGCCCGCTTGAGCTTCGACGCGGCGCCGCTGCGTTGATAGGCCGGGATCGCAAACAGCTGCGTCTTCGCGTACCGCACGATCTGCGTCTCCGCCGCTTTATCCAACAGAGGGGCACCCTGCGCGGTGGTGGCGGAGAGGAGTGCGTCGATCGCCGTGATGGCGAGCCGCCGTGCGTAGGCGTGTGTGCTGAGGCTCAGCTGCAGGAGAATGTTCACGGCGCACGTGCGATACACCGGCCGCAGCACCGCGAGGGCCCGCACGAGGCCCATCCCAATCACGCACCGGGTGCGGTCCGCAGAGAGGCAGAAGTCTTTGTAGAGGTGGTGCCACACGTAGCGGGTCAGCACAGGCGCCTGCAGGAGCACGTCCACCAGAATGGAGTTCAGCCGCGCCGCCAAGATGAGCTCCAGCACGCGGCACAGGACGTGACTGTAGGTGGACGGGGCAGCGACGGTGTCGTTCAAAAACCCGAACACACGCTCCGACGAGTTCACGTTACCCGCAGCGCCGTCGTCCTCTCCACCTGCGTTCTCTGCCGCTTCGCGAGGCCGCTTGCTCCCCACGTCGTACGAGGCGCGATGCACGTCGTCGTCGTAGAGGAAGGCAATCGGACTGTCCACCTCGATGGACAGCCGCGCGGCCGTGTGTAGCGCCTCCCCTCCCACACCGCCGCCAGCCATACCGTCCTCATTCCCCTCCTCGTCCAGATTCGCGCCGCCCAGCATCAGGGCGCTGTTCAGCACCCCACTGCGATCCTCAATCGGTGCTTGGGTGGCGTAGAACATGAAGAGGGCCTGCAGGGTGAGTTGGTAGTACGAGTGGTCCTGAAAGAGAATGGTCAGACCGGCATTGGAGCTCGCCGTTGCCGCCGCTGCCTCCGCCTTCTCCTTCAGTGCACGGGCCTTGGCCAGCTCCTTGCGCAAGCTCAGCAGCAGTTCGTCCATCGCACTGTCCGCCAGCGACGGTGGCAGCTGCACGAGGCAGCGCGCAATGAGGGCCTGCGTCTGCCGAACCCGCGCCTCCGCCTCGCCGCGGACGTGGGCGTAGGCGCTCAACACGGAGCTGAACGCCGCCCGCTCCAGCCGCGCACGGGCCGAGACGCGCCGCAGAATCTGCACCCCCCGCGTGTGCAGTGCCACACTGTCCTTCACGTGCTCAATGAGCTTCCCGGGTGGGATGGCCTCCACGCCCTGCCGCTCCATCTGTCGGAGCTTCTCGACTTCCTCGCGCTGCGCCTGGTAGGCGGCGACAAGCTGCATCTCTTCCAACCCACGACGGTGCAGCTCCTGCATGGCGTCCTCGCTGAGGAAGTCCATCTGCGAGACCGTAAGCATCACCATGTCCACCAGTGCCGAGGCCGTGACAGGACCCAGGGATGTCTTGAGGTAGGCTTCTCGACGGCCCAGCAGCGTCGCCGCCTCCTCATTGAAGAAGTCGAAGTCGCCGTCCGCGCCACCACCGCCGGCCAAAATGCCGCCGCCATCAACGCCGGCCGGACCGCTCGGGAGGTGGTGCGGCGCCGCCAAGATGGAGCGGCAGTCCCGCAGGCGTCCGCCACCCACTGTGCTGTCCGCCCACGACTCCGCCACACTCTGTCCAAGCTCAGAGAGCGCTGTTGCTGCTGCAGCGGTGGTAGTGTCCGCCGCACACGTCGCCTCCCCCTCCACCACATTCGATGGGTCAGAGAGCACAAAGGGATCCGTCACGTGCACCACGCCGCCAAAGGCAGACGCCGCCGCCTGCAGGCCGCTGAACGCCGCATCGCTCACCAGCAACAAGTCCGCCGCCGCCGCCCCGGTCTTCTTTTGGGCGACAATGGGTGTTGTGGGGCGCAGCTGCAGCGCCACACTCAGTACGCGCTGCACGCTCCGTTGAACGTGGTAGACGCGAAAGATGTCCTTCAACTTACCGCCCGCCGCACCGCCACCGCTGCTCCCACCAGCACCCAAGCGATCGGCACCGTCCTCCTCCATCGACTCCATCTGCCGCTGCTGGCGGTGGGCGATGTACTGCTGCGCAAATTTGAGCAGCGACTCCGTTGTTGAGGTCGCCACACGCGCACAGAGCTGCTCCAATGCGGCAGCGGAGGAACTGCTGTCGGTGACGCCTTCCAGCACGTGCGGTATCGCCCACAAAACATCCTCCACGTCCTGCAGCAGCGCTGTCAAGAGCAGCGCCGAGGTTGTCTTGTGTGCCCCTCCTCGGGCGGCTCCCGTGCCATCCGCCTTGCCCGCATACGCGTTCAGCTGCTCTTGCAGGGCTCGATGGAGCGGCTGCAGCATGCCGTCCACCGCTGCTTCGAGCTCCTCCGCGACGCGTGCGCCGGCGGTTGGGTGTGCGAGGCAGCCCACGAGCGCCCATACACCCCTTTGCTGGCAGCGCCGTGCGTCGTCGTAGCTTGTCACACGTCGCACGTTGTCGATGGAGGTGGTGAAGCGCTTCGCGATGATCTCCCGCATCGAGTGCAGCTCCGACTCAAGCGACGCCCGCGTCGTCTCCGCCTCCTCGTCGTTGTCGTCTGCTGCCGCATGGACACTCTTGTCGCCTCGGTGCTGGTGGTGGCCGGTGGGGAGCGCCATCGGATAGGCAAGCGCGGTGGCGAGAGGGAAGAGAACCACGGCGGCGCGGCTCCAGTAGTGGAAGGCGCGCTGGTCCGTCGTGGTCGCCGTCTCGTTGAGAAACATGGAGAGGAGAAGATGGTCGTCGGGTGTCAAGACCCACTGCGAGTCTGCCTCTACGGTCGGCACCTTGTGCTGATGGTGCTGCAGGTGACGCTGCCAGAAGGCGGCGTAGGTGGAAAGTGTAGTAGGAGCCGAGGAAGCGGGGGCGGAGAGCGCTGTGTGGCGGCTCTGCACAGTCTCCAGCAGCTCTGCCAGACTGCGCAGGACACACTGCTTCTGGAGGACTTCCCGTGCCGTGCCGCTGAGACTGTTGTAGGCGTCCAGAAGCAGCTCAATCGTTTCGCGTGCGTCCTCCACACCGCGGAGCTCGTGGAGGCAGGCGAGATTTAGCGAGCCCACATCCTCGGCCTCTTCGATGTGAGCAAGAAGTGCCTGCATGGCCACCACAGCAAATACGAAGAGCAGCAGTTAAATGTCCTATACGAACTATGGAGCTGTTGTCATCGGGGAGTAACAGAAATTCAGAAACCACGATTTTGAAGCGTTAGAGAAAAAAAGAAGAAGAGTGAAATTGAAAGGAGAAATAAAACCTCATCAACCCAACAGCTTTACTAGACGTGAGGGCGTGCGAAGCAAGGTGGGCCTGCGACGTTCGGCTTCTTCTGCTCCTCTCTTATTAACTAATACTCGTAATAACAGAGTGAGCCACTTGTTTTAATGCGTTGATGCGCTCGAAAGGCACCGCACCAACTCAGCATTTCGTGAGCTGCAACAGTGCACCTCAGAATCGTTTGCACACCCTTAAGTCGAAGCGGCAGCGACTCTTCCAACGTTTTCGCTCACTCGCCAAACATAATTAGCGTGCCAAACGGCTCTATTTTTGCCTGTTTCGCGGGAGTATTGTCTTTCATTTCCTTTAGCAACCGTTTGTCAGAGGTACAGTGCAAACGACAGACGAAATACGCAAGTGGAGGTCAACGTGAAAAAGAAAGAGGTTTAAATGCAAAAGAAAGAGATTTTGACCCCATCACAGCAAAAGGAACGCACCGTTAGGAGAAAGTAGCAACGCACGCAAGAATAAAATTAATCAAGTGTTGACAAGGAATGAAACAGCGATACAGTTGTTGGGTTTTTTTTTTTTGCCACGTCACGACACGCTCCTCGCACATCAGACCTGCACCCTTCTTTTTTGAGGTTCTGATGAAAACTACATGTATTGTATTTTTTTAGTTAAGAAACAGAGAACATTAAAAAAAGAAGCAACATCACTTTATCAAAACAAAAAAGCTTCAATGAAATGAAAAGAAAAACACGAAGACCGGCGCAACCAAGTCAGGCAAATAACTTCGCGTCGTCGCTTTAGAACGAATAGAAGGCAAAGCCACCGTATCGAACACCAGCCTGCTAAAAACCTAAAAGCAGTTCAAAGCGGTTCTTCTTGCCTTCTCAGTGACCCAACAGATTTCACAACATGCCGTAAATGCCAAAATACACACACAGCAAAAAGCACGCAGCGGCAACATCCACTCAGCTCAGCACCGCCTGCTGCAGCACCACGCTAAAGTCCACCTCCACGCCCATGTTCTCCGCCGGGAAGTCAAACAACGTCTGCGTCACATCGAACCAGCGCTCGCTCATCTTCAGCCACCCGTCACCGTGGTAGGGCACCCGCGTCATACGCTGCAGCCGCATCCGGTACTCCATCTCCATCTCCGGCAGCGGCGTGCGAGGAGGCGGGGGCAGGCGGTGGGTGATATCCCACTTGCTCGCGTAGTGGTACCACAGCTCTGCTCGGTTGCGTCGCTCCTCCTTTGGCACCCGCGGCGGCGGCGGTGGAGGGAAGAAGTTGGCGTGGAAGTGCAGCAAGTCGCTGAGGTACTCGCTCTCGCTCTTGGGGCGGCTCACCACACCACCACCACCACCCACGTCACCGTGGCTGCTCGTGTACTTGCTGACGTTGCTGCTGTTCAAGCCCACCCCAAAGCCGGCGGGCAGCGAACCGCGTGGATTTGCCGTTGCTGCGTTGCCGGCCGACACCACGAAGCCGCCGCCCAGATCGTTGTGGTTGGTGTGGAAGGTGGACGGCGGCGACGGTGTGTGCTGCGCGCCGCCACCGCTGTTGAAGTCACTGCCCCGGACCGCAAAGCCGGTGTTGTCTGCCGCCGGTGGGTTCGACTCCTTCCACCGCCCTTGCTGTGACGGAGGATGGGATTGAGTGTACGCCGGCAGCGTCAGACGTCCCCCACGGGCCCCACCCGCACCGCCGCTGTTGGTATTGATGTTGCTCAACGCGTCCTCCTCACCTGGAGGCTCATTCAGGTTCGGGTAGTTTCGCAGCGCGTTTTGCGTGCTTCCCAGCGCGGACACGTAGGATACGGCCTGCGGCTGACCGCCGCGGATGTAGTTCACCAGGGAGTGCAGCGAGAGCGGCAGGCCGGCGGAGGCGATGATGCTCTGGGCGACGTCCTCGTCGTCCAGGCGAGGCACAAACGACGCACCGCCGTTGCCCGGCTGAGAAAACAGACCACCGCCATTGCCGCCGCTGCCGACGTGTTGATTCACATCGTTTGCCAGCACGGGGATGTCGAAGTTGCGCACGGTAGAGGACGAGGTGTACGGCGCCCGTCCACCACCACCACCACCACCTCCTCGAACGTTAGGACCGCCACCTTCCTGCACCGTGAAGTAGCTCGACTGTTGCTGCCGCTGCTGTTGCTGCTGTGCGGTATGCATCGGCACCGCATTTTGGGTGCCGCGGATCGGGTCCGAGGCGGGGGACGCGTGCACCGTGCCAAAGCGGCCTTCGTAGTTGTAGTGCACGTCCGGTGCGTAGCGAGGATGGGGCGACGGCTGGAACGGACGGGGCGGCCCCTCACGCTGGAGTGGCAGAGCAGAGGAAGGGTTGGACGACGGCTGCTGAGAGGGAGCACGGCGCTGCAGACCTCGTGGATCGACATGGCGGTCTGCGGCACCGTGAGGAACAAAGCCGTGAAGCGCTCCCGCGGCGAGCTCCGCAGCATCCGGCACCGAACTCGGAGGGTGTCCGTCGTCTTGCGCTGCCGCCGCTGCCGCCGCAGCCGCAAACACGCTGACCGCCTCCACGCCGTCGTCGTCGCCCAGCAGCGGCGAGCCGGCCCCGGATGCCCAGACGTCGCCCTCCCTGCCGTAGCCCGTCAGCAGAGTCTGGCCGGAGTGCCGGCTCGGCGCGTCTTCTTCCCACACGGAGCTACCCGGGGCGGCCCAGTCGCCGCTGACGTCGCCCCACGCATCGGAGAGGCTGACGACCATGGTGGGGGTGCGCACCTCACCGGGGAGTAAACTGCTCTCGCGAACAAGGTCGCCCTCCTCTGCCTTGCCCACATCTACCCGTGGCTGCTGCCGGGTGCTGTCCATCGTAGCAAGGATTTGTTTGCAATGTGAAAAGGTAAGCGACCGTGAGAGAAAGAGAATTCCCCACAACTGAAAAATGAAACGGTGCTGGTGCGTCAATACACGCGTCTGAATCACAAAGGGAACTGAAAAACGATCTGGCGAGCTCTTCAGTTCGCGATGGTTTCCCAAAGCACATCAATGTTCAGCAGATTGCGCAGCAAACAAACAAACAAAAAAGAAAAAAGGTGAATGCCACAACTCGACGCGGGATGTGCGAGAGAAGGGTAAATGAGTGGGTAAGAAGGTTGATTCTGAAGATGTCCTACATACGGGCGATACACCACCAATAATAATAATACCCCAGACGCTCACTGGACCATCTTTTGATACTCCAAGTGCAACGACCGCTTGGCTGAAACAAACCATTGCACGGGTGTCGTTGAAACTGAAAGCCACGGGAAAGACAGAAGTGCGTTTCTTTTGTATCGTTTTGCCGGCAGCGGACCAGCCATCAGTGCTGTGAGCGTTGCCCCAGTCTCAAACTGCTGTTCAAATACTAATTGTTGCTATATATTCGTGCGCTTTCTTTTTAACGTTAATCGCATTACGTCGTTTACCAAAAACAAAAGGCATTACTATTCAGATGCTGAACTGCAGAACTCCACTGCCGCATCGACGCCTCTCCTTTAAACAAACTTCTTCCATCCTTTCAGGCCACGTAAATACTTTTTTAACGTCAGCACAACACATTTGCGTGGTATACCCTCACAGGACTGCTCTTACAACGGATACAGCTCCATGCCCGTCACTCGTCCTTGGCAGTTCGCACTCGTCACGTACTGCGCACGCACCGTTGCCGTCGCACTGTCCGCCTGCACATTCCACGCAATCACAATTCCACTCGAGTCGATCGAAAAGAGCGTCGCACCGTCTGCCTGCAGCGCCTTAACGCGGCAGACGTGTCGCAACGGGTTCTTCTGGCGCGACTCCATCTCTGCCTTCACCGGTGTTGCCAGCAACTCGGCTGCTTGCGTCATCAAAGCCTCGGGGTACTCGACCTCCACTTGCGGCAGCTCACCGACCGTCTGCATCGGCTCCTCCACCGTGCCGCGTACGGCAAATTGCCTCAACGCACCCGCCTCCGTGCCCACGACCAGCAACGCCTCCGTGAGGAAGGTGCAGCAGTGGATCTCGTGGGGCGGCTGCGGTGTGACCCAGCGAAACGTGCAGAGAGGCCGCATCACCGCCGCGTCGTACACCACAAACGAGAAGCGGCTGAAGATGACAAATCGGGTGCCGGACAGCGAGAAGTGAATGCCGTCGGGCGTCTCGCGGGCCGGTGCGAAAACAGTCCGCGCGGCACCGCGCGATGACGGAGCATCTTCAACCCCCTTCTCCTTCTTCTCCTCCTTCTCTCCCGCCTCCGCGTCTGCCGTCGCCACGGTTGGGGTGTACTTCCACTTGGTCAACAGCTTCCCCTTCACCAGGTCCAGCACGGCTATCGCGCGATCCTCGCCAATGGTGACGGCCAGGCTGCCGCGGCTACCCGGGTGCACAGCGAGGCCGACCACCGCCTTCTCATGCACCGTCAGCGTCGTCGCGAGGCTCCAATCGCGGCAGCGGTAAAGGAGCAGCTGCCCGTCCGCGCAGCCGCAGAGCAAAGCCTGAGAGCCGTCTGCAAATGCAATTGCGGTCACCTCCGCTGGTGGTGCGAGGCTGCCGAGGTCCGCCAGGCGTACGGCCAACGGCTCCCCGGCCTCCTTCATCTTCCTGCGTGCCGCCGCAGTGAGTCGCTCCTCTGCTTTATTGGTGAAGAGGAAAACGCGCTCGTCGACGCCGCAGCTGGCGATGTAGCGCTCCGTCACGGCGGTGGCGCGCACCTGACCGACGTGGCGCTTCACGGAGAACTTTATGAAGAACTTGTTTTTGCGGTACACGAGACCAGCCATGACGGCGTGGTAGGTGCTGACGACGAGTAGCGCGTTCTTGCACGGCTGTGGTGTTGCAGCAGAAGGAACAAGGGTAGCTGCGGTGGTGGGAGCGGCAGAGGGCGCCGCGCCGCTCGCGGATGCTGACGCTAAGGGCGCGGCGGGAGATAACGACGAAGACACGACCACTTTTTTGGCTGCGCGCTCCGGCTTGGACTCGTCAACAGAGGCCGTCCGCTGCCGCTTTGTGGATTTCGTCTTCATGCTGGATAACACGTCGTATACGATTATCACAAAGATCTACTGCAGTAAAGCACCAACCAGAGGTAGACGCAGAAGATCATGAATGGGACGTTTTTTTGTTTTGAGCGGAGAGAAGAACGAGACAGAGGGAGAGAATAAAAAATGGGGGTTAAAGTATCGAGGAGATGAAAGCCTCTCGTGAGCGTCAACAACGGGCATTCCGTTTTTCCGCGAGCGAAAAAGAAAGGTCCCCCGCTGATCATAGCCCTTCACAGTCATGCAGGTGGCATGCGGTGAGGCCCTACCAAAATCATTCTCATCAGTTGTATTACCTGCACACGTACAAGGAGCCCTAACAATTACTTTGGGAAACGCACCACAAGCGATGCTGTAAGCCATTCCGCCGTCGCCACAACACAGCTAAGGAAAAGAAAAATCAAGTCCTCCTCTTCATGTTTCATCGTAACCGTAAGAACTCAAACAGACAACGGAAAATGACAAGAAAACAAAGAAAGGGTCTCATTGACAATAATAATAAAAGTGATAAAGGCAGTGAAAACAGAAAACCGATACAGCAACCAAATAGTACAAAACAAGGAGGCTCAAAAAAACGGCCCACACTGCGGCCCCAACAAGCAACACCAACGGCAGGGTGTGCACAACAGGCATCATTTACTACGACACAGAAGATTGAAAAGGAGAGGGTGGAAGAGCACCCCATACACGTAATACACGGCGTTGAGAGACGTGTATAGAAGAGAATGCGTGGTGAACAAACGAGAGCTACGTCTGTGGCCCTCAACTGAACGCACGGCAGCATCCGTACACCTATGTGTGGCAGCACAACAGAAAATCCAGACCCCAAGGAAAGCGAAAAAAGGCAGCAAAGAAGTGGGGCCCGCAGCTTCGTCTTTGCCGAGTAAAACACACCAGTGTACGGGAGGAGGGCATGAAACAAAGGAAGGGGAAGAAAGCAAAACGTGGTTAATATTATATAACGAATGCCCAACAGAGTCGCACAGGCACCTAAAGAGCAAGATAATAATAATACTAAAAACAAAGGAAGAGAGCTTTTGTTTGTGTGTGTCTACATAAAGGCGCCATCCCACACACGTGCTAAACGTTGTTGTTGTTTTTTCTCTAATGTACGTAATCAGAATCTACTCAAAAAAGGAAATCCCACATACCTTGCTTTTCCTCCTCAGAGGTGAACGAAGATAAAATATCGTCATGTCTCACAACTGCTTGGCAGAAAGGAAAAAAAAGAAATACAAGCAAACGCTTACAAGGAGTACAAAAGAAAAGAGGACAGGCAGAAACGCACCGACAACAATGATAAAGAGAAAGAGAAAGAGAAAGAGAAAGAGAGAGTGAGACAGGGGAAAGGGGAGAAGGGAAAAAGGGGAAAAGGGGGAAAAGTTAAATAAAAATATCGAGAAACAACGATAGCTTTCTATAGTAGCAATAGTAGCACAAATATTAACGGTTAGTTTGTTTGTCGTGGTGACATCATCATAAAGGACACGCTTGAGAAACAGGGGAAGAAACAGAGCAATCATTAATACGAAAAGATTTTACAAATTCCACGTCCACTCATCATTTAGAAGAATGACGGTCGAATCCTAAAGAAGCAACAATCAAAAGGAGAAAACAAATGAACAGTAAGAGAACTTCTACAAGCGGAGGCCAAATCGTGACTTACTGAACTGCCCCATCTCCTCTATATTTGGCAGCACGCGATCCTGCTGGCGCTTTGCACGCGAGGCGGAGTGGTGTGTCCTGTCTCCAGAGTCGCTGCTGGCGGCGGTGGAGTGCCCGGACCACGAGGAGCTGCGACGCTGCAGGTACGGGTTTGTGCCTTCATCGACGGACAGGTCCAACGACGGGTACGAACGCGTCTGCGCCGTGCCGGCGACGTCCGTCAGCGAGTGCATGTCGCTGCCGCTGCGGTGGCGACTGACGCGGCCGTTGCTGAAGTTACGATCCCGTGTCACCCCAGCACCGTCAAACGGCGGCGCGACGTTGGCGGCGATCGACGGCCGTCGACGTCCCTGTGGCGATGGCAACTGCGGTTTACTCCCGCCGTCGTCATTTACGTTCCTACGAGTACCAACACCACCTCCGAATTTCTCACCTCCTACGTTGTTCGTCGCCATCGGCGTCACGTTGGAGGCGAGAGAGCTACCGTGTATGTCGTGATTTGGAGGAGTCGTTGTGGGGACAATGTTTGACGCCCCTCGGGACCCCGCCGATGTCGGCGGCGTTCGGGTTGGAGCTGGCTGGGCCGATGACGTCTCTGGCTTGGAGACCTCCGTCGCCGACAGCGGTACCACCTGTTGGCTCATGTGGCGACGTCGGAAAAAGCGACCTGGGGTGCGACTTTCGCTTGGTGGCGGGGAGGCCGTAAATGCCGTGAGCTGCGGTGAAAGGATCGCCGGCGCGCCGGCGGGTGCTCCCACCGCCTTCGCGAGATGCACTGATAAAGGCGAGGAGCGGGTGCTTTCTTTGTTATGATTCACAGAAAGCGTGGACGTGGTCGTCGCTGCGTCTCTGGTGGTGGCTGGGGTGGTAGGCGCTTGGTTGCCTCTGCCTGCGTTGCTCCGTGCAGAGTCCTTTCCCGACATTGCGTTCGCGGGTGGTGCTAGCGTCGTGGCGCTGGTAGTAGTGGCCGACGTGAGAGGTAGGACCGTGTCTTGGCGCTTCGACGTAGGAGTCGTTTTGTCTGTTGACGGTCTGCACGACGGCGGTGTGCGCGCTTGCTGAGAAGTGGAGCTGCCGGACTGGGAGGAGGCGGCGTCGCTGCCCTCGCCGAGCGCTCGTCGTTTGCCCTCGTTGCCGCCCTTGCCGACCGGCTTCTTCAACTTCGCGCGCAGCGGAGAGGCGGCGTTGGACGCGGCCTTTGCTGGAGCGGCCACCTTTTGCATTGGTGCCAGCGCAGAAGCTTCCGATTCACGGCGTAAGGGTGACCGCGGTTCACGAGGAGGTTCTCTGTCGGGCACGTCGGGCAGCAACGGAATGTCGCTGATGGGCTGCAGTGATACCTTCCGACTTGTGAGCATCCTGCCCGGCTTCACCTGCCGACTGCGGTTCAACGTCGCCTTTGGTGGTGGTGATGGTAACGGCGTTGGCTTTGCGGGGGAGGCTGAGGGGGTCGCCGGCACCGCTGGTGCTGCAGCTACCACCACTGTCTCATGGACGGTATCGGGCGGTGTTGCGTTACCTGTAGAGCGGCCGTCTATATCGTAGAGCGGCGAGCAGCCGGCTGCTCCATAAGTTTCCGCGTAGGAGTGAAACGATCGCGACTTCCGCAGTTCCTGGCGTCCCCCCTCTTCGGCTTCTTGGGCCGCCGTGGAGCTGCGCTTGCGCTGCGCAGCCGGCTTTGGCGCGGTAGTATTCTGCGCGGGAGGTGACCGCGGTGGGGCTGAGCGCTGTGCGGGAGAGGGTGCGATGGACGGAGCCGTATGGCTTGATTTGGACAGGCGGGAGATGCTGCCTCCACTGGCGCTCTTCGACGTGACGGAAGATGACATGTTGCCCTTGCGAAACGACCCCGACAAACGTCGTTGCTGCTGCTGCTGCTGCAGTAGAAGGCCCGGCTCACTTTCGTGTTGACTGGCCAGGTGGCCGTAGTACGCTGCATCGTACGCACTGCCCTCCTCCGACACGGCGCTGTGGTCGCCTGCGCGAGACTCGAGACTGCGTGCGCCGAAGCTGCCGTGTGACTGCAGGAACGTGTTCTCCGTTTGCGGGGTGAAGCCGCCGTCCTCTTTGCGAGACAGGTGGCAGTCCCCCAACGATGTGGCCGTCGTCGCGCCAGATCGATTGCGCCATGGTACACAGCTATTACCTTCCCTCGACCCAGCACTAGCGGCACCAACACCGACTCCGTAGAAGTCGCCTAGGTCGTTGTAGTCATATGCAGCACTGGTGCCGCCATGGCCGCTGTCCGGCACCGTCGGGCCTTCCGCTGTCGTGTTCATCCCAGTAGAACCGTACAGTTGGTTCGGTGCTGCAGGAGCGGCTTCGTTAACGCTACCATTGCGGTAGTTGTCCGTAGAGGCGAGAGGAAGAGGTGCTCTACCACCCGGTAGCTTCCGGCTGCTCTGCGCTGGGTAGTTTGCACCGTTGTTACCGCCACCGCCGTACGTTCCGGCTTGATAGTAGGACGGCACGTTGTATAACGTGTGATAAGATCCCGTAGTCGTCGTAGCGAAGGCATTCTCGCCTTCGTTGTCGTACTTCCCCGCTCCTGTCTCCTCGGTGCCGTCCATGACGAACATACCACCCCCGTTTGTCATGTCATAGCCGCCGTCAAATGGGTTTGTAGAGTGTTGGGGATAGCAGGGAATGGCAGGCGCCGGGGACGCCATCGTCGGCGTGTCTCCGGAGGGCATGATCGCAAACACAGAAACGAGAGGAAGAAAGAGAGGGAGAGAAAGAACGGCCAAAACCAAAGAAAAATAGTTAAACGACACAATAAATTAACGCGGGGCGAGCAGGAACAAATGCATAGAAATAGTAGTGAGAGAAGTAGGAAAAGTCAGAGGATCAAAACAATCAGGGAAGAAATTGAAAAGACAGCGTAGAAGAGGAAGAAAATACAGGGCTTCTGCAGGAGGCGCGCATACACATAGACAAAAACAAAAGTACAAAATACAATGAAGCTTATTCGATTGAGAAATAGAAAGGAGGAACCATGAAGCTTGATAAAGAGAGTAGGAGAGAGTAGGAGAGAGGGGGAAAATAAAAGGACAAAGCCGGATAATTTAATCGAAGGCACTACAGCTCCCTTTCTCTTTTGTCGTTGGGAGCCACTACATATACTTGTGAATTTCAATAAAAAAATAAAAAGAAGAAAAGAAGACAAGGGAACGTTTTATCGGGGAGAGAGTAGCCGAAAAAAATAACAATTTATTGCCTTTTCGAAGTGCCGTTAAATGGAAAATAACAAACGAAAGAGAGGCGATGATGCGCTTCCGTCACGAAAACACACAAACAAGGAAGGGAAGAAGGAGAGGACTTCACTGCAGCTGACTCGTCTCTGCCGATTCGGCGGGGCAGCTTCTTAGCGTGCGTGGGTGTGTGTATTAAGGAGGCTTTTGGTGATGCAAATAGACAATTCCGGCAGATTTGACCGCGGAGCAGCGCAGGCGTAATGATGCAATCTGGGAGAAGGTAAAAAAATAAATATCAAGCTACGCCTGCTTTTCCTGGTACCGAAGCTCCAACGAAATTACGTCGACTGCTGCGAAAAAGAAGCTCTCGTGGACACACGTGAGGACGACTCGCATGCGTGAATGCGCCCCCCTCACTTTTTCCAAAGACGTTCGGTATCTGAAATAATTCACAGAGGTAGGGGAAAAATGGGAAAATAAAAATGTACACAGGGGATGTGAAAGCACAACAAGGGAAAATAGGAGTGAAGCAAAGAGCACTTCCCGCTGCCAGTTGGAGTCGATACGGGAGTAGAGAAAGTCGCTGTGTCCGTAACGCTGATCAACGCAACTCGCACGCGCACCGGCAGCAACAACACGAGAAGGAGCGAGAAGAGAAAGATATTAAGGACCCCTTTGTTTCCACGATGAAGTACGTTTTAAGATGAGTGAGTTCAGCGTGAAAGACAGAGAGAGCGAGAGAGATAAGGAGGAATCAAAGGGAAGGGAAGAGATGAGACTTGGAGTAGGAAAAAAAGAAGAGAACAAAATAAGCGAATTTGCACCCCCCTTCGTTGCTCCTGAGCACCGCCGAGTGTGCACCTTCATTTCGGTATCGTTTGCCAAGTTCTACAAGAAGAACTTCTTTTACGGCGCTGGAAAGGAGTGCAGCAGCAACAGCAGCAAGCTACCTAACGTATGGTTTCGCTTGTCTGCCTCCTCGTAGCTCCCTTTTGTATTGGGTGTAAGAGGCTCCGCTAGAGCGATAACGTCAGCGTGTTGCTTGTTTGTTTGTTTGCTTATCATGCATTTCTTAGTCTAGGTTGTTCGCCTGTTGATTTACGCTGCCTCAAAGAATAGCGGTACTTGTAATTCTTCCCGCGTCACTTACGCACACCGAGCGACACTACAGTTGAAGAAAAACAGTTGTCGATACTCGCAAAACAAAACACAAGCGAAGTACACAACGAAATAGATGCGAAACGAGTACGAGGACGAGGCGATGATTGTCGTTGCAGTGGAGCACGATGGCCGTCAATCCAACCGATGAGGACGGCGCGTGGGAATTTTTTAAAAGGCAACCTACGCCGACACACACACACACACCTTAAGGCCCCACAGTATCTCACACCGCTTTATTTTCTTTTCAGCACTATTTAATGAAGAGAATATCCTATCTTGCCGCGTCGGGAAGCAGTCCATTTGAGGGAGGTTCCAACGATCAAACACGTATGGCATGGTAGGTCAACAACAACTTATACATTCATATATATTTCGCGGATGCGCAGCATTGACATTGCATGAAGATAACGTGTGGCTCGTAGCATGTTCGTATTTCAGCAACAAGAATGGAATAGTAATGAAAAAGAAAGAAGAGCGCAACGCTGTATAACGGCTGTGATAGCTGTTTGCTTGTGTGCGTGCGTGTGTATGCTCCCAGCGACAACGGTGAAAGTAAAAGATGGAAGATGCCTGAACCCAAACAGCCAGCGCAGGCAGTAGAAATGATAGCAAAAACTCAAAGAAGAATTTGATCGCTCCGTTGAAAAAAGGAAAAAAAAGTGGCGGTTGCGAAGAATCAAGCTCACTGCGGCTCGTCGGCGAGTCGGCTACGTACGTGTTCGGCGGTAATTCGCGTTAGAAATATTAATGATGAAAGTTCCTTTAAGGCCCTCTTCTCATTTGCGATCGCTTGGCTTAGTGTGCTTCACCTTCCCGAACCAGAATATCAGCATTCAGCCCTACTGGGCACTGAAGCGGTGAAGACGAGGAAGCACGAAGATGAAGATCACGTCAAGAGAGCATATTGACGGGAGGCGCAGAGGAAGAAATTCATCACTGTATCGGCTGCACAACTCGTATTACGCGAAACAAAACGATTTTTACTACATCTTATCCTACTTTACAACACAACACTTGCTTACACTTTACACCACCTGTCAGAAGAAAGGAGGAGTACACACACATATATATACTTAGGTTAAATCGTCTTCGTAGATTTGTTCTTTCTTCTGTTAGGTTTAGAGAAAGGGAAGGGAAGGGGAGGGGGGAGGAAGGAGAGAAGGGCGGTCGTCGGCTACTTCCTGCGCGGCGAAATGGTGGCGCAACTGTTGCCGCACTCCGACGTGCCGACGGCGACGGTGTCCACCTGAATCGTGGTGTGGCCAATGCCGAAGTGCACCTGGCAAATGTGCTGCGCCTTGGGCAACACAGTGCTGTCGTCCGACACGAGGTGGACAGACAGGGAGACGTACTCGGCGGAGAGGGACCAAATGTGCAGGTCGTGCACGCTCACCACGCCGTCAATCTGCATCAACGCCTCCTCCAACGCGTCGTAGTCGATGTGGCGCGGGGTGCTCTCCATCAAAATGCCAAAAAGCTCCATAAGAAGAGACTTCGTCATGTTCAGCGTGACAACGGCGAACATGACGGAGCAGAAGGGATCGGCCAGGTTGAAGAGGGAGTACATGTACGTGTGCTGGCCGTAGTACATCATGTTCGCCACGTAGATGAACACACCAGCAAGAATCACACCAAGGGACTGCACACAGTCGCCGAGGGCGTGGAGGATCGCAGCGTGTACAGCGAAGCCTTTACTGCTGCCGATGCCTTCGCCCGTGCGACTCGAAGGGGTACGTGCGTGCCCGTGTTCGAGGTCATGGTCGTGGCCATCGTCGTGTCCGTGGTCGTGGTCGTGATCGTGTCCGTGGTCATCATCATCGTGATGATCGTGTGAGGAACCGAAGTGGCTGTGTCCGTGCGAGCCGCCGTAATACAGAATCGAAGCGCAGACGATGTTCACCACCATCCCAAGAATGCCGACGAGGATCATCAGACGGGAGTCGACGGCCTTGCATTCCCGCACTCGGTTGTCGCCCAGCGCGAGCTTCGCCGGCACGCGGCTGCACATGTACATGTCGTACGTGCGGTACCCGGCCTCCACCAGAATCCACGCCACGAGAGCCCAGATGGAGAAGACGGAGATGAGGGTGCCGATCACCTCGGCGCGGTGCCAGCCGTAGCTGTAGCGTCCACACGCCGCACGTCCCGCCGCGATGAGAGCCCCGATGCTCAAGGCGTAGGAGCCGACGTCGGTAAGGAGGTGAATGGCATCCGTCAGCAGTGCGAGTGAGTGGGCAATGACACCGCTAGCAAACTCCACCACCATAAACACAAAACAGAAGGTGAGCGCAAAGAGCAGGACGCGCTTCTCGGAGTTGCGGCGGGCGTGCACGGCGTCGATGATCTGGGTGACGCCCCGCGTCTCGCCGGATGTGACGCTGACCGCCACCGGCACTGTCTCGTAGTTCTTCCTGTCCGCCGCCGCGACGCCACCGGCTGCGAGGGCCGTCGTCTCGTCCGGCTGAACGCTGGCCATCTTTCTGCGTTCAACGAGTAGAGAATATATATATAAATATGTATACAGAAGATGAGAACCTCGTTGCCTAAAACGACTGTGATGGAAATAGTGGAGAGCACGTCTTCGGTGTATGCAGCTTTAGAATCGCTCTTACCAATTACTGCACAACAATTACATGAAAGAAAACCCTAAAAATACGGCAGTGAAAACAACAAAAGCAAACCAGAGACTGGGAATCTCCGCATGAATAGAAATATCGCTAACGCACCCAGAGACGGAGACACAGAAACAGGTGGGACTGTGAAGGTGTGTGCTGAAGGAAATATATATATAGAAACAGGATGAACTACAAAGGAGGCAACAATCTGAAGTGTTTTTCTTCTCCCGTGAGTACCATTGGGAAAAACAAAGATATAAAAGAAAGAGCGAAGAAGGGGTTGAGAAGGAGAAGCATTGCACCTGCACGTCAAATACGAGATGGAGCGTAGGAAGGGGAGTTTCTCCCGTCACAACAAATATATATATTTAAGCGCGGAGGTATCGTCCAAACTTGACGTTACTGGTCAGGCGGAAAAGAACGAAAACGTAAACTGCAGTGAAGACGCACGAACGCCACCTCTTTGTCGCCGTTCCCAGCCGCCTTCTCTCTCCTTAGAAGAGCACCAGAGTTATAGCTTCTGGACTGCTTGCGGACGCAAACGAGTTTATAGGGCACACTGTATGCATCAAACACGGCGAGACGCTACCATTGTATTCTCTGTAGTTTTCTTCACAGTTGTGTTGTCTTCAGGGCCGATCCGTGACCAAAGGAGATAATAGATATTCATACGCAGGCAATAATAATAAAAAGAGGGGACTTCTGCAGCCTCAACTTGCGTGCAGCGCGTGTGCGTGCAGCGCCGACGTCTTTTCACGCGCCACCCTCGTGCCGGCTACGGGACAGTACCGCGTACCTTTTAAACGGAGAAAATGGGAAGGGAAAAGCAGCGTCTTTTGGTAAATGCTTTTTGGTGGTGGTAAAACCGACGACTACGCTAAAACAGCGGGGGAAACGGGGAGGCGAAAACAATCGCATTCTTCTTGCATCAAAAACAGACGTACAGACTAAAAGAGAGAAACAAGAAAAAATAACGGAGGTCCACGGCAACGAGCAGAAAACGGCCGACGCAAGTCACTTAGAAGATGAACAGCAGGAGAGCGTATAATGATAATAATAAAAGTAATACTCGCATCATCAATACGACGGAAAAACGCAGCGTTTTTTTGGTTTACATACTCGATTTTTCAAATAATATTAATAATATGTCCTTTTAGAGGAAGACTACATATCCTCCAGTGCTGAACGGTGCAAGATGACGCTCTGTTTCTTCTTGGGCACCATCGGCACGAAGAACTCTTCCCCACCATTCGAGTCTTCCACCTTGCTGTTTACTTCGCCGGCCGCGTTAGCAGAATGAAAGCTCTGCTGCGCGCTGGGCACCGCACTGCCGTAACCGGCGTGCACCTGCTCCTTCGTCGCCAACAGCGGCATCGTCCGCGTCGCGACCTCAAAGGAAAAGTCCATATCGCGTCCTGCGTCCTGCAGCACGATCCCGCGGTCATCGCAGCCCCAGCGCGGCGTCATGGCTCGGGCTGTAGCTTTGGAACGCACCTCCGGCGACTTGCTCTTGTTCGATCGCTGTCGCACCGACGCGTCACGCTCGCGCGTTGACGTGGCAGGCGACGGTGTTGACGTCGACGCCGCGCTGCACTTTTTCGTTTTGCCTTGTCCGCTGATTTCCGCATCGTAGAGCTCCACGTCGTCCGCCTCCACCTTGACACAGAGGATGGGATTGGCGTTGAAGTTCTGCCCCATCCACGACGTCCCCCGCTCCCTGGTTCGGGTCAGACCAACGCGGTCCATGGGCGAGCCGGAGACCTTCCTCTTCGGGGCGGTGGTGAGCTGGGAAAAGCGGATGCGGGTGCTGCGACCCATCTCGCCGGCAAACACCTCGGCAAAGGTGCGGAACTCTAGCGGGCGCGGGCAGACGGCGGCGAAGACGTGCAGGAACATTTCGTGCCGCCGCAGCAGCCGCTCCTTCTCCGCCTCCTCCAGCACGTCGACGCTGGCGTTGGAGGCGCGGACGGGTCCGGTGGAGGCCGTGGTGGTGGTCGAGCTGGAGGACGAGGAGGAAGAAGCCACAGAGAGCGTGCGGACGCGCGAGCCTTGCTGCTGCTGCTGCGGCGGCGACTGCTGCGACTGATGCGCCGCCTGCACCCTGGCCAAACTCGCAGCCCGAATGTCGTGGGGCACCTCCGGCAGCAGCGTAAAGGTGAGCACAAACGTCGGCGCACCGAAGTAGTCGCTGCTCTTGAGGCGGAATCGAAAGAAGGGGTACGTCGGGAAGGCCGCGGTGTCAGCGGAGTACGTGATCAAGGCGATCTCGTCCAGACTGCAGTGAAACCGCAGGTGGCCGAAGGAGTTCATAAAGAGCAGGTGCGATTCACTCAGGCACAAAAACACGTCCTTCACGGTGGTGAAGTGATCGTCGTTGCGCTCCTTCGTCGCCTCATCGGTCGACGGCAGGACCAACTTCACCGCGTCCCAGCTCGTGTCGCCGGAGGAGCCGTAGGATTCCGCCTCGTCATCCATCTTGTCGTCGCCGAAGGGAACGGGCAGCACCGACACCACCTCCACCACGCCGTCCCGGTTGGCCTGTTGTGATGAGGACGATGCCGTCGGGCTCTGCGCAGTGCGAATGGGCGTCAGCAGCCGGTTCACCAGAGCATTCAGCCGCTGCTTCCCCATCTCCACCGCCTTCTCCGGATCGCTCAAGTTCGCGCCGTACGACGCCGAGGAGTCCTCGTCGCTGTGCGACGTCTCCGGTGGCACCCGCTCCACAATAAGAAAACCGCGGATGCAGCTGTACAGTACCAACTTCGACAAGGGCAGGAAGGAGTGCCACAGGTAGAGGGGGAAGGCGGCAAACCGGACGCTGAAGCGGGGGTCGAGGGTGTGGCGCAGGTAATCCTCCCAGCCGCGGCTGCGAAAGAAGGCCGGAGGCGGCGTCACGGCTGTCATATTCGGGTCAGCCGCTTTTCGAGTGAGGGGGTCCGCGGATAGATGGGGGTTGGACAGGTCCGCTGAGAGCGAAGCGTCGACCCCACCGTCGAGGGCGTCCGCGTTGCGTGGGTAGTCAGTGTAGGTCGCCGTCGACGCGCTGTCCACGTCTTCCAACTCCTCTTGCTCCACATCTCGATTCACTCCACCTTCGTCGTTGTCGCCGTCCTCCTCGTCCTCCTCTCCGAAGCGGTTCGCCCCAACGGTGGGCCGGCGCACACGTGGGTGCCACAGTGGGCTGCTCGGGCGTGCGTTCTTCGCCTTGTCGGCCGCCTCCTTTGCTCGTGTCTGCAGCTGTATGTAGCGCGAGAGAAAGCCGTGCAGATCCTCCTCGCACAAGAAGCGCAGGTGGAAGGTTTCGTGTTGATTGAAGGCAAAGGGCAGTTCCAAGACTTTCCGTGGATCGGCATGGGCAGCGGCAGCGGAGACGGGGGAGGAGATCTTCTTGTGCAGGGTGGTGGTGGTCGAGGTGGAGGACGACAGTTTGCCCTGTTTCGTGGATTTGGCAGGGCGGGCTGCCGGTGTGTTCGGCTGCGACGGGCTGACGTGTGGGGAGCCGGAGACGCTGCTCACAACCCCAGAGATGGTCGAGAGCACACTCACGCTACGCTGCGCCTGTGCATCGCTCGGCTTGGGGGACACGAACCACTTAAAGAGGGAGGCGTGCCACGGACGCGACGTCATCTTCTTTGCCTTCTTCTCCACCATCACCTCCCCTCTCGCGTCGGTGGAGAAGGACATGTTCGGCACTCCAGCGGACGTCACGACGCCAAAGAACGCAACGAGGAGCAGCTCGGCGTAGTCGTGAATGGTGTCCGACTTCACGGTGGGACTCGGTAAAGTCGGCGGCGTTGCCCTATCCTCCAAGGGGGTGTTCTTCTCCAAAGTCGACGCCTGCCTTCCGACAGCGAGCAGCTCCCGCTGAGGCGTGAGCAGCGGCGTGTGCGCTTTACTCTGTTGCTTCGAGAGCGAGTGCGAATCGGGCACCCTCGGGAAGTCGCCATCGCCCAACGAAAAACTGTGCTGCCCGCTGCCGAGCCCGCTTCTCGAATGGAGTAGCTGCGGCGACCGCGTGTGCACCTGGTAGGGTTCCTCCGCACTCAGGTACTGGCCGTAGGCAGGAACGGCGGTGACCGAAAACCCGCCCGACGCGTTGCTAAGACGCGTGCGCTGCGGCGCGACCGGCGGGCCACGGCTGGGTGGGAAGTAGAAGTTGCTCATCAGCGTCGCGGTCGCGGTGGTGCTCGCGCTACCGCCAAAGTTGACGCCGGTGGCCCGCGGGGTGGAGTGGGAGGAGTAGGTCACCGCCTCGCCGTCGAGCATATTCAGCCGCAGGTGCGCCCGCAACTCGGCCGACAGCGGCCGCTGCGCCGCCAGAGGAGAGACGCCCTTCAGCGCCACCACGTAGTACTGCTTTGGGTGGCGATGCGGGTCTACCGGGGTGCTGGGAGGGGTCGGCGTCGCCGCGGCCGCCGCTGTCTTCGTATTGCCTTTGCGAAAGGACGAGCTGCTCGACTTGTGTTTGGTGCTAAAGGACCGACTTCCGACGGCGCTGCGACCCAGCTTCGATGCGCGCTTCTTCGGGGAGGTTACCTTGAAGCTAGCGGCCAGTTTCTTGGTTGCCGGGGTCGATGCCGCTGGGGTGTGTGGTTGTTTGCAGGGGTTGTATGTGAGGACGAGACAGACGTGTTGGTGCCGAAGACACAGGTGAGCACGTAGCGCCACCTCCTTCTGCGACGGTGCGTCCACCGAGACCGCTGTGGTCGAGCCGGCAGGTGAGAGCCCATTGTGATGGAGCAGCACCGAGTAGACGCTGCTGCTCGTTGCGTCTCGGCCCTCCGCTTCTGGCGACGGTGGCTGCATTTCTTCCTTTCGTTCTTCTTAAGAAGAAGAGTGCTACAGTTACTTTTTATATTCGAAGAGGAAGGCGTGCGCGCCATGGAAAAATACTAAGAGAAAACGAGAAGTAAACGCTGGCGAAACGCGAGAATAGCCGTACTACTGCAGAGCAGAGAATAGAGAGAAAAAAAAAACGATGTGCCGTTGAAGTGTCCTCGACAGGCTCCTTCACACACTACCACGATTTTATTCGCGACGTGCAGGCGCAGGTGAGACGTCCATAGAAGAAGAAAAAAGAGAGGCCGTTACACACAATTTTTGGTTTGTGGTCGTTTTACAAAGATGTTCCCGCAGTTCGGGTTCGGTGAGCTACCGGCAGGAGTGAAACGGAAATGAAAAAGAGAAGCACAAGCAGCTTTCTTTAACACGGGTTAGAGTTGAGCGGAATACGGTCCCAAGAAGCGCAGAGGGAGGGGAGGGAGGAAGAGGAGGAAGAGTACGGCAGCCTGTTGCTTTAACAAAAGATAGGATTCCGTCAACTCCTCGCCTAAAAAAGCGCAGACGCACAAACCGATGATAGTGTTCCCAAGAGAGATCACACTCCAGTGTCTACCAAGCGAGATACACAACATAACTGCTCTTTTGTGGTTCAGTCAAACAGCGCGAATCCAACCGTGCATTATACGCCTCCTTCACTGACTACGAGAGTCCCGCAAGACAACGCGGTGGGGAGCGGGACCCAAAATGCTGTCGTGAAGCCTCACAGAGGTCCTTGTGCAACTCCTCTTCCTCTTTGGGGGAGGGGGAGGGGGGGGGGGGGGTCGGATGGTAAGTACCACTTACAACTGTTTTCCTTTTTACGACTATTAAAGAAGACCCAACGTGTGGATGGTAGAAGAAATCGCTGCCCTCGTCGTACGCTCTCCACAGAAACAAACAAAAAAAAAGGTGAGGTAGCGAAGGGCGCCCACACGGCGCGTCGGAAACAGCAAAAGAAACAACACCGAGTCGGACCCCACATAACACGCCGTGCAGCGTAGAAGACGCATCGCGAGTTACTCTGCGTGCTTTCACAGAAACCGCTTCTCCCGCAAAAGAGGCCAACGCTATTTGCGCTTTGATTGTACAGCTGATGTATGTGTGTGTCTGCTCGTTCTTGTTTTGGCATTTCATCCACTCGTAATAGCTACTGTCGTTGGTGTCCTGCATCGTCTTGCAGAAATAACAAAAGAAAAAGAACGAGCGGCGGACACGCGGATGCCAATTGTCTCAAAAGAAGCGCGTCGCTCCGCTACATACAATAGATATATATTTATATTTATATTTATATCGCCAGGCCCCAGCTGCGCGATTTTCAAAGGCCGAAGCACCTCGTCACCGATTTGTTTTTGAAGAGACAAGGATGGCCGACAGACGCAGACACAAAACGAGACTTAACAAAGAAGAAGAACTGAAGAATTGAAGGCATCCACACGTTGGGCTACATCGGAGGGTGGAAAGAAGTACTCCCAAAGAAGGAAGGTGTACAACGGAAGACAAAATATAAATATATAACAATAATAATGGAGAATCAAATAAAACGAGTTCGCTTTTTCTTTTTTGATGGATAGTGTGAACCTCCGCGACGGGGGAGGGACAACACACGTGGCAATTAGGCGCGGTCATGATCATCATCTTCACAAACGGTGGCGACGGCGCTGATATAGAAGACGCAGTCACACCTACACTCACACACATGCTTCCTTCCTCTCTCTCTCCTTGTTGCCGAAACACACGGACGAGCAATTTCATCGGCATATCAACGAAGGAGAACAGAAGAAGTCAACGTCACCTGAAGGAAGAGAGAAGAGAGACGTACGTAAAAGAGGATATAGAAAGGCCAGCCGTTGATTTCCGTGCCCTTTGGCTTAAGAGACAGAGAGCGAGAGAGACCTGCAGAAGTACCAGCATCGTTGAACACCGTAGACTTCGTGAAGGGGAAAGTCGGAGAGGAGGCGACAACGGATGTGGTCGACACCTATCGCTGCGTGGAGTCCACCGAGGAGCAACGTCGGCCACGGTAAAAAGAATCCGAAAGCGTTCTCGTCGGCATTTCGTTCTTCTTTCAACTGCACTCACGCACGCAAAGAAAACATGAAGATCTTCGGTGTCCGACGAAGGCGGTGCTCGGGACGGGCCTCTCTCCTGTACCAACCTTTGAGGAAGGAGGCGACTCGTAGCAAGAAAATAAAACAAAGGCTGCAGCCGAGACGCCACGAGAACAGTACTCAGGAAGGGAAACGAAACAAAACTATACAAAATAAATGTTGACTCAAAGAACAGCGATGTTCAGTATAAGAAGAGCGCAACAGATGCAAGAGAAAAGTGAAGACCAAAAGCGAAGCAACTGCGAGCGGCCTGTACGGCTTGTGCGGCCATTTTCAGAGACGAACGTAGTCCTTCATCTCCTCTGTGTAAACTCAACTGCGGAACCGACAACGCTTGCTCACAAGGACACTCATCAAAAACAAAACAAAAAAGAAGACGGACAGTGGAGTATAAAGCTGTTGAGATCGCCGGAGTGGGCAATCAGAAAACGAGAGAAATCATTAACAAAACAAAGAATAGACGAAGGAAGAACGGACAGGCATGCTGAAAGCGGAAAGACCACAACAGCGTTTCCCTTTCGACTGGGAGCAAGAACAGAGGTGTTGCAACCGGCAAGACGAGAAAATAAATGAAGAGAGTTCTGTATAGATCGAGGCAAACACCTGAAATGAAAAGGTAAGAAATATAGAAACCTCAGATGAAAAAAAACGAAAGGAGTAAGAGAGTGATAATTTTGATGGAACAGGAAAACAGGTGAAGGCAAGTATTATAAGGTGTGCCGCTGAAAAGCGCATTGATGACCCTCGGAGGTCATTTGTAAAAAGCGAAAAAAGAATTCGTGTAGTCTGATTCTGGACGCACGTGCAAGAAGGTGAAGGATGCGACGGGAGCTTCACACAGCGAGGAAGACGAGTAGTATCTTTCCGTTAAGAAAAGAGGAAGGCAGCTTCTCCTCGCATTGTCAGTGGTCCTGCTCCCTCATCACGCAGATACTCTCTCTGTTGTGTTGAAAGAACGGAACCTGAGAAACCGGCGAAGTTACATATATACAACCGATCTATACACATGAATTGATATTAACAGATTACTCTCTTTTTCTAAGAAGGTCCATCTGTGCAGGGCTGCGTCAAAAGAAAAAAGCATCCTAAACACCTCAACAAGGAAACGTTCGTAGATGTATATATATGTACAAATTGAGGACGCAGCAGGATTATATAGAGGTGACGTATTCGAGTAGTGGCGGTCCCATAACGTGTCGAGCGTCGCTCTTAACACCACGCTAAAGTGCAAAAATCAAAGGCTCATCCATAATAGTAGACTAAGGGCTTTTCGCGTAGAAACAGAGAGCACCGACACACAGGTGAAGGGAGGCCGCACCAGCATAAAGCAGTTCCGTCAGCGTACGGGTAAAAGAAAAAGGTGCGTCTTCTTTTCCTCTCGTTACTTCTGTCGTTGTGACTCTCCGGTACGGGGGGCACTCGCGGTGAGTACTGCAGGGCTGCGCATTCGAAAGGAGCAGGACCACCTCTTTCCTTTCCGCCCTTGTCGGGCCCGTAGGAGCGCACCGATTCCTTCGAGTCATGCGCGCTCTCCAACGCCGTGATCTGTGCGCACTGCGTTTGCTGCGGCTTTCTACCTTTCCCTCTTGCAAAGACACACACACACACAGAGAAGACCTTCTTCGCCTCTTTTTACACCGCGCTTGGAGCCACTACCCAGCAGTTGTAGTTCTACAAACGCGAGTAATGCCGCGCTGCAAAACGGCAACTAATAAAAAGAGAAACGAAGAGCCATCGGCAAATGCACCGCTTCAGAGCCTATGGAGAGCGGCGCTCACTGCGGCAATTTCATTCAAAAGGGAAAAACACATTTTAGTCTTGGAACAAAACAAAAGGCCTCGTACATCCAATACAGAATGGGCAGATGGCGACAACACTTTCATGACAGTGTGCTGAGATGATACCGCAACGAGTAGACTCTGGAGGCAGGAGGCAAGAAAACAAAAATTAGAACACAAAACAAAAGGCGGTGAAAGACTCGGGCGAGGGATGATGTCAAATCCTTCGAATAAGAAAGGCCTGAAAAAGGCAGAAACGTAAACAGGAAAAATGAAGAGAGAATGCGGGCGACAGGTAGACCTGTGCCTCCGTGGAGGAGTCGATTTAATAAATAAGAAACCAAAACGAACAAAACCAGCGGAAATAATAAAAGAATGCGGAGAGGGTTGAAACACAGCAAAAGGTCGTTCTTATTTTTCTTATTATTCGTAAATTTAGCGTTTAATCCAAAACGGCGGTGAAGTAGGCGGCGGCGTGCAGCATCACGTCTTCCTCTGTTTCGGTGTGTATCGCCTGCCTCTGCACGGCTCGCTCAAACACGTAGTTCGGATCCTTGCGCATCCCACTGCCACAGGGTTGAATAAAATCCGCGCCAACACCGATCGCGCGAACGTCGGACGACTTCAGCCAGCGAAGCGGCGCGGCGGACGCACTCACCGCACCACCGGCGGCGGTGGCGGTGGAGACGGAGATACCAAAGCTGGACATCTCCGTCGCGCGGTTGCGGGAACTAAAGAGCGAGGCCGGCTCCGACTCCTCCCGCGCGCAAGACGTCGGTTTTACATCGGTGCGAAGGTTCTGCGACCGCGTCTGTGGAAGCAGCGGCGATGGCACATCTCGATGTCGTGCCATCGCTGTCGCGTCTCCGCCACATGCATTGGACGCGGGGTGAGAAGCGCTCGTCACGCTCGGGGTCAAGAGACGGGGGAGCGTGACCTCCGAGGTTTGCGGTGCTGGTGGGTACGACAGCGAGGGATCGTTCGGCAGCTGGGTCGCGTCGGCGAAAAGAGAGAGCGAAGCCTCAGCGTTGCCTGGCTTCGCCGTGTGCGTCGATTCGCTACTAGAGGACGAGTGGCTCATTGCTCCTCCGTGGGTGTGTGTCCCGCCTTCTTTTGATGTTGTAAATGACGGAACTAAGCAAGAAATATAAAGAACGCAACTAACGTGGAACACAGGTGAGAAATAAGCTCTATGTTGTGAAGGGGGAGAAACTCGTCTGAACAGGAGAAGTTAGGAAAAAAAAAAGAAGTCCAGGGATCTGAACGCTGGTTATATAAATAGCTTTTTGATCTGGCACCGGATCTTGGTGGGAGAGGGAGAAAGAGAAAAAACAACAAAGGTTAAAGAAAAGAAAAATAAGTGACGTCCTGTCTGCTGTTTGTCGTGTACCACGCGCGCAGTGTATAGAAGAGAGAGAAAAAAAAGAGGCGCCAGGTACGCGAGGCGCAGACGGAAAGTTCAGGGCGAACAGCAAGAACAGATATCAAACAAAAAAACTCAACTTAGTGTTTATTCGAGAAATGGAAAGAAGACAACTGAGAAAAATGACGAGCAGACAACTCAGAGGGATTATTTTGTTTTATATTGTTCTTCAGTTGGCCGTATTCAACGTTCCGGGAACAATTCATGTACTCCCTTTGCTGCGACCTGACGGTCTGGCGGTCGAAGAAGAAGAAAGAAAAAAGAAAGCCGCACCAAAAAATACTTAAAGAAACACTTAGCTTAACGAAGGGAGTCGATGCGTTTTTTTTGTTTTTTAATCTACACGACAGCAAATAAACACCAATCGGTGCAAATGTGTATCGCCGTCCTCTGAGGATAAGTGGAAAGGCCTCTAAGAGAGAGGGGTTCTTTGCTGCTGAAAGGCGCTGCGCAAAGGAAGTAGCAGCTACGCCTGCCCGAATGGTACCGTCAGTGCGCCGCCACGATTCTTTCCCACGACTCTCGCCGAGGAAGGAAGGAGAAGAACACGAGCACGACGTACGCGTCAACCGTACGTGAAGGGCAAAGCTACCAAAGGAGGAACAAACACTTTTTATTTTACTACTTCGGATTCCGGGTTTGTTGATGGCAGTTAAAAGAAGCCGTACTTCCTGTTCGCGGATATATACAACAGAAGCAGAAATGATGTTTATGATTAGCGTCGTGGACGACGTGAATAGAACTGCGTTGGTGGGGTGTACGAGTAGAGGGAGTAAAACGCCGATGTCGGAGGTCCCAGTGGAAGAGGAGGAGGGGGAGGGGAGAACAAGAGGACAGAGTGCTGGCGCAGAGGAGGGCTTGGACGAAGGGAGCGAGAACGAACGAGGCGACGATGAGGATCTAACCAATGGGCTGGAAGAAGCGATGCGCTCTGCACTCCATCGCTCGAGGGCCTTCCAAACGAGGCTGTGCGTCATCGTCCGTTGCTTCACATGTAAAATGAACAGCGGCGTTCGAGATTATGCATAAGATCAAGATTTCCATTACACTTGAGGGGTGCTCTTTTCTTTAGGGCGGGGGCTGCGCTTTTGACAGCAGAAAGTGGCCCTGAATGCATTAGCCATATTTAAAAAAAAAAAGAGACGCAAAGCGACGCGTTCATAGCGGATGGTCTAACGGGAAGAAAAGAAAAAAACGAAACCAAGAAGAAGGAAAAGTGCGATGTACCCCTTGAGAGTGCGCACCGTCTAGCACGGCAAGGCAGTTAACAATAATAAGTAAAGGAGTGATAAAAGCATCGAGACACCACGTTTTGGAAAGAAATCAGAGTAAAGTCGCAATAATCATTAATACAATACACGTTTCGCTGAAGAAACAGAAGCAGCAGCAGCCAATATGGATAGAGATGTCTCCTTGAACATTTCTCCATTCGGAGGAGAGAGCAAAAAGCGGGTGCGACTCATATATACATGTTCTACAGCCGCGATATCCGCCACTGTGCTTCAGAGTTCGATATCATCATTATTGTTATCATTAAATGCTCCTTGGTACGATGGACAAGGAACGAAACTCGCAGTCCGCAGGCAACGTCTTCATACAGTTGCCGCAAAGCGAACTGCAGCAAGAAAAAAAAAGTTAACGCGGTTCTCTGTATACTCACCTCGTTAGGAATCGCTGCCTTACACATCGGTGGCTGGTGGGTGGGACGAGTCCCCTGCTCTGTGGAATCCGGTCAGGACGCACGTGTCCGGCACCGCCCGTCGCAGCGCCCGTGCCAGCAGATGGAGATCGGCGGTCGTCATCGTGCGTACCATCCACACCTCGGTGATGAACTCCCCGTACCCTGTGAGGACTGCGGAGCCGCCCGCCTTCTTATATCGACCGCTCGGGGCGGGTTGCAGGTCACGATCTCGATGCGCTGAGGAAGTTGCCGCTGACGCTGTCTGCGACGTGGTCGTCTCATCCTGCCGCACGATCCTCTTCTCTTCCTTCGTGCTGCTAACGGGGCGGCCAGCGAGGTAAGTGCTCGGCACCATCTTGGCGCTGGAACCAAAAAGGCGCGTGAGAAACGAAAAGGCCGAAGGCTTCACACCCACAATGCCCTTGATGCACACCGTCCGCTTCGCCTCGTCACTCTGGACGCACTCGCCGATGCGAAGACTGTTGTAAGTGGGCCACACCTTCACGGTGTCGACGCGCACCATACAACGATAGAACAACTCCGTCGCCTTCTCGGCTTTACTTATGTAGAGTCGATGGTGCGTAGAGTCTAAGGTGAAGACGCGGGTGTTCCAGGCATCCTCGTTGAAGCGGCCTTGCTTCTCCACCACAAATTGATGGGGCAGCGGTCCGGATGTTCGATGGCTCGTGCTGCTGCAATGGCGGTGACAGAACGAGGGCGGGTGCGTCTCTAACGCTGCTTCTACGTTCGATCCGTTTCTGTGGTAGCACTGCGTAGCCGGCGCCGCTGCCTCCGACGCACCGTTACTTTCCTCAGCTGGGGGCTTCTTGGTAGAGGAGGAGGTGAGCACGGGGGCTCGTGTAGGACGAGACATGAGAGCAGGAGCTGTGGACATCGCAGTCGCTCTGCGAGTGCATAAACCGAAAACAAACAAAAATGTTATTTCACACGGAAGAGATCGAAAGGAAAGCGTCAAAATCAGAGAAAGGGCGGCACAGCAGATAGCAATAAACCACGGAGATACGTCGCGAACAAAAGGTACGCAAATTCCGTGGGAGTGCTCTTTGCGACCACGAGTTGCGCGGAAACGCCGCAACGACGAAGTCTCATCGCTATGAAAGAAACATCAGCCCCCAGGAGGCGGTGGAGATCCCTGTCGAAGTCCCCGTCAGCTGCGACCGACCAAAGAGCGCAGACCGTTAGATTATTTTACGTCAAGCAAAGTATGCTTGGTAAGATCGCTCGTTAAGAGCGCCAGAGAAAAACAAAATGGAGTAGAAAATGGAGAGCAACGGGATCTTTCCTCATTTCCTAAGGAAGGATAAAGAGTACAAACGAAGGACGGTGACGCAATTGAAAAGGGAAAAAAGGTCAATACGGAGATGGAGGCCTCTCCCGAACGGTGCGAGCAGAAAACGTTCGCAGCGGGCGCCGTTTGAGCTCTCACCTGTAGATACGGTAAATGCGCAGGACAAAAAAAACATGTCCTTCTCTTTTACTCACACCTCACCGTAGTTCTGCCGTCGAGGTAGAAAGGCCACCGCTTCCACAGTCACCAGCTGGTACAGCCACATCGGTGCGATCTCCGCTTGTGTGAAAGACACACCGTGGTACACGCTTACCTGCGCCGGTCACCTCATGCGCTGCATCAGGCAAGGGTGAGAAGCGCTACCCAGACGGTGTCATCTTCAGCAGTCGCCTCCGTCATGCAACACCTGTACTGCCACATACAAAGCGGGAAAAAAAAACCTGATGCTGCGCGGAAGGGACAGCGAGTCGTACTGGATCACACATAACGAAGAAGACGCCTCTCCAGTCTTCAGAAACGGGCTCTGTGCATTCGCAACGCCACACGAGATAAGGAAACGCTGGATGTAAACTTGCAGTGCTTAACAGGCAGTACAAGAAGTGAAAGAGAAGCCGCGTGACGGCTTTGAAGACTGCGTTTACCGCTGGCCGAGCAACAATGGTTGGAACCGCGGAAGAACACGTTGTTGCTTTCAAACACATTATCCGGCATCAGCGCCCATCTTTCTGTCGACTGAAAAAAGAAGATACTCGAAAACTCCTTTTCCTGGTGCGCAGTGGATAATAAAAGAAGACCGTCAGCACAACGCAGCTGAGCGGAGCGTGCCGCCAAGACGCAGACGCACTTCAACGCTGAAGGAGACATCGACAGCGTCCGCTAAATGCCGATGTAGGCCGGAGAACGGCGGACTCTCAGCGAAAACAAACAGCGTGCCATTCGTCGACCTATATCGATATGGCAGGCGAGGGAGAGCAGAGGAGCATCAAAGCACGCAAAGAAGGAAGACAAGCGAAGACGACATCAAACGACACGGGCGAGACAACAACGAGAAAGGAATGGGCACACCGCAAAAAGTTCCTCTGTGGAACACATCCACTCTCACACACACAGACAGAAAGACACAACGACTGCGTGGTGTATCGCCGGCCCTGACAGAGGTTCACCTTGTAATGCTCCTCTGATAATACGAAGGGCGGTTCAATCTTCATAAGCCAATGCTGCGTATGTAGAGATTCCTTCTCCTGTTGTCCACCCATCACATCGTTGTGTCGGTGGCTTCCCTCAGCACACGCCTTGAACCAGAGAAGCAACGCAAAAAAGGAGACAAAGAAAACCGCTGCGTTGTCTGACTTGCCGAGTGGGTCCGAGGGACCGCAATGAATCGCACGGTGCACGGCGAGAAGCTGTCAGAAAAAGAGTGGAAAAAAAAGTACAGGTAATGTATAGCGGTGTGTTTGATACAGCGGTGATGCCGCCTTCAAAAAAGAGAAAAAATCAATGGAATGATTAACTTTCTTTTAGAAATGTTTTTTGTTTGTTTTATAAGCAAGTACCGGCGGCACCAAAGGGAGTGGGGGTCGTCACAACCGTAGGGCATTAGGTGGTAACTCAAAGAGCAGTGCAATCTGTATAATGATAAGCAACGAAATCACCCGCGTAGTCGCAATGAATCTCTTAAATGAACAACAACACACAAACAAACACAGCAGTTGGCAAGTTCGTTTCCATCCAGTCTACCTCGCGTTGAGCCTGGCCGTCTCCGCCGACTCCCCCACCGGCTCCTCACCGCAGATGGGTGGTGCGACGTGAACGGTGCCCTTCACACTGCCCGGGTTCATCACCGCGCTTTGAAAGGCGACCAGCAAAGGCTCCATGTCCTCTCGCGTCATGCATCGCAGCATCCACACGTCCGAGCAGTGCACTTTACTTGACGGGGTTATGTTGTTGACAGGAAAACCCCTCACCATCGCGGCAGCACTTCGCTCCAGTGCGCTGTGCTCCTGCGCAGTGATGCGGCGAGTGCGTGGGTGAAGAATGTATGAGAAAGGCGAGGCGGTATCGCTGTGAAGCGTGCTGCCCTTCACACAAAACGTGAGCTCACTGTCTCCTAGGATGTACGCGTTGGAGTGAAAGAACCAGCTATAGTGCGGCCACCACTTCACCTCCTTTATCGCCACCATGACGTGGTGTTCGATATGGCTCACGTTGCGGCGCTGACTCAGGTACAGGATGTGGTTCGCCACGTCAACCGTTAGCACGCGTGTGCTCCACATGAGCTCGCTGGAGTTGTTCGACTTCTGCACCACGAACTGCAGCATTCCTTGAGGGGCGTCGACCATTAGTCTGATATGTTTAATGTTTTTGAAGTTGGCACGTGTGCTTTGGCTGCGTGACTGTGGGATGTCTCGCAAAAAGAGGAATATAGCGTTAGCACACTGCAGCGACGGGAAGCCGGTGTGTGTGACACGTTGCGCGGAAGGCTTTTCTGTCCCACCTCGTGCGCACAGAGTACCTTCTGTACCACAGGAAACAGGAACGCTTGTAGAGATCCGAGAGGTGGAAAGGGTTGGGAGAAAGGCGGCATTCAGCAATGAGAAGACAGTAACGGGAAGAAGCTACCACAAACAGTTCCACGGCACTTTTCGGCACACACGCACACGCATATTCAAAAAACAACTGCTGCCACCGTTGATCAGAATATATATATATAAAGAGGCACATACGCAGTGTACTCGCTGGCCTCTCTTCATCCACCCGTCACACTTCGACGCTCCAGAAAGGGTAACGCATTTAATGCTCACTGATGTGACAGTTGTCTCCTCTGTATTTTCCCCTTTAAAAATATATACAGATGTGTTAGGCAGCTTGGTGTGTCAGCGCCATCATACCACAAACGGAAGAAAGCTGAAAATAATGTCTACTTCAAATAAGTGGGACTGCAGACTTCGTGGAGCTGCGCTCCTCCGTCAGCACACCGGCGAGACAGAGTGGACGTACTCCAGCTGCACTTGGTTATACGCTGTGGGGTGGAAGAAAGAAGAAAAAAGTTATTTTTACAGACAACAAAACAACAGCGTAGACGGCGCCCATATCTTTCCTTTAAAAATGAGAGGAGGAAGCTCATAAGAAAAAAAATTAAAACAAACAAAGAAACGTCAGAGGATTGCTGTGGCAGAGATCGGAGAAATACCGTTTCTTGCAGCAAAGGGGGCGGGCTGAGACGCCTTGATACGACCCTGCTTTCACGTGACGCCGCTGAAGGCAACAAGAGGAACAAAGAAAAGGGGAATCGCACAACACATCAACACAAAAATAAACAGGAAATACAAACACAATGTATTAAAAGAGAGAAAGATAGAAAGCGAAAGGTATTCATTAGCTGATTATTAATACCATGACGATTTGTTTGGCCTCAGTATCGTGGAAGTCACCAGAAGACGTAGTAGCGTGTCTAGAAGCCTCGCCGCGACTCGAAAACCAAACACACAAACAAAAACAGCAAACCTTCTGATGCAATCCACCGCCATCAGCGACACAACCATGTAAAGAGCGGACGAAAAAAGATAACACGTGTGTGCGTTCTACAGCCCGATCGTCCACTTTCGTACTTTTTCCAGGCACCAATGAAGCCTCCGCTGCGCGCACACCCGGCTGCACATTCTTCATCGTCGTTACGAACCGTTGAACATGAGTCAAGGCAAACAAAAACTAGTTATCTTTTGAAAGCGTGGAGCTACACCAGCCTCATTTCGGCGTGTATACCACTTGCACCGCCGGCATTTGTCCACTCCTGCTGGATCACCTCCAAGTCGTGCTCGGCGGTGCTGCCCAGCAGCTGCTTCCGTTGCCCTTCCGCGTTCTTCATGGCGTATACCAGCCTCAGTGCCAACACGTACGACTGGAAGGTGGTAAAGCGGATCATCCAGACCTCGCTTGCTCGCCCCAGCACCTTCTCCACGGTGCGCGGTTTCTTCGTACCATCGCCGGCGATAAAGAGGAAGTCGGACGCCGTGGACGACGGATCAGAGAGCAACGTCACGCTAGGCGGGGTCGAGTCTCTCGACGGAGGCTGCGCCTCTGCGACTCCTGCAGTGGCGGTGACCGCAGCCCGTCCGCACGTGACCGCTTCCCTCCGCGAAAAGTCCGGCACCGGCACCACCGTGCCGACGAAGCGCACCGTCATCTTGGCCTGGATGGAGTTGATGTACTCCTCCAAGTCGCGCTGCACGAAGTGCGGCCACATCTGCACCGACTCCAGCTGGATCGAGTGGTAGAGGATATTCTTTGGATGATGGCAGCGGCTGATGGTGAGCGTGCCGCTGGCGACGTCGATGGTGAGAATGCGTGTGGACCAGTGTCCCTTCTCCCACGCACCCTGCTTCCGCACAGGGATCTGCACGACCCGTGAATTCATTAGGCAGCAAATTTACAGGAAAGAAGAAAGTGTATTACGAGTGACCGATCGAGCGAGAAAAAAAAGAAGGGTGCTTAGGTGATATGTAACTTGGAAATTTAATCAAAACTACCAACGAGAGTTATAGCCGAAAAGAGAAAGAAAAAGCGACGAAGCCAGAAAGAAAAAGGCGCGTGGGTCCGCAAACACGACCGCTGCCCGCGCACTGCAGACGCACTCGTCTACAACACGATCTTAGAAAAATAAAACAAATTTAGAGAAGTTATTTGCGATGAAAATGTGATGTGGAAAATGAGAACAGACCGAGGAGGAAAAACGGCTCTCTGTGCAGAACGGAAGGGAAGAAGAAAGGCAAACGAAAGCGCAACAACGAGTTGTGAGAGCGGCTGCTGCGTGTGATTGCTTCCAAGCAAACTATTCTCTCTCTCACAACTAAGAAAAACGATTTCAATGTTTGGAGTCGCCGCATGCAACTTCGGTTGCTTTGGTGAAAACCAAGAAGGAAGAGGTAGACGAAAGGAGAAGGAACGGGGAAAATTCCAATGATCGTGGAGAAGGCGACATCGCAAGGGAACATCTCTTTTTCATAAGGGAGGGGGGGGGGGCGATGTCCGTTGTTAATGCTGTGAGAGACACTTCAGCTCATATTCGTTGTTGTTTGGGAGGCGGAGGTTGGACGTGAGAAGAGATCCATCGGAGACACAGCTGGGCGACGATTTTCGAATCCCACGTACCTCGCTTAAAACACGCAGGTCAAACTGTAGAACGGTGTTTCTCTTTAGACGTCTTGAAAACTGAAACAAACTCGGAAGGCTAAAAAAAAGTGTTATTACGTCCCCACTTGAACTGCACCTCCATGAGGAAATTTAACGCCATGACACAAGCACAACACTTCAGAATCACATGGGACGATGGCGATGCGCTCAGGTCGCGCAGGATGCACCAACACCGTTTTAAAAGAATGTGCTGAGAGGAGGAAAACTATTTTTTTTAAAGGAAAACGTATTGTTGAAGAGCATTTAAAAAATGAGAATTATCCAGTAACGCAATCTACGGAAACTTAGTTTCGAGCTGCTGGAAGCCATGCAAAGGGAGGCAAGAAGAGAAAGGAGGGAAACATATAGAGAAGAAAACAACTCGTTACGTCAGCGTGGCCGCCTCGGTGTCGAGCCCGGCAATGGTTTTTCTCTGCGCCCACGCCGCTCTCACCGCGACGAAGTCTTCCACGACGTGGGGGCCGAAGAGCGGCTTCCCGACCACCGTTGAACGGCTCATTCGCTGCAGCAGCACCAGCGCCAGCTCGTACGACTTAAACGTCGTGAAGCGAATCATCCACGCATCGGCCTCGCCTTCCGCGAACTCGCTCAGCGCGCGGCTTTTCTTGGTGCAGTCGCCGGCTGAGAAGGCGAAGGGGGAGTTGTTCACCGGCGACGTCCCCCCTGCCGAGTGCTGCGATGGAGAGGGCAGGGATTGCTGCACGGGGGACTCGCTCTCCGCCGAGCGCGTCGCAGTGACCTCTGACTCATCCGTCAGGTGCCCCATCGTGTCCTCCGTCACCGTTGTCACCTCTTGTGAGAACTCTGGCACCGGCACCACCTTCCCCGCAATGCGCAGCGTCATCTTCGCCTTGAGGGAGGTGATGGCACTCTCGATGCACTCCTGCCCAAAGCGGGGCCACAGCTGCACCTTCGTCACCTTCAACGAGTGGTAGAGGACGTTGTTCGGGTGGTCGTTGCGGCTGATGGTGACGGTGGCCGTGGCGATGTCGATGGTGAGAATTCGGGTCGACCAGTTACCCTTCTCCACCCGTCCTTGCTTGAGGACGGGGATTTGGGCTCGCTGAGAAAGCATGAGATAAGGATCGAAAAGGGGAAAAGATGAATTACCTTATATTAAAGAGCAAAGCACACTTAGCAATTGTAATGACTTTCGACTGGATGTTGACGCGGAACAGAGCAGCAGGCGCTACATGCACAAGTAGTAAAAGCAAAATGCGCTTACAAACGGTGTGACGAGGTCACACGCACGGCGAGAGATAACAGGAAAAATCGAAGTAGGCGTAGTGTGACGCAGCAGTGAAAGTTGATTTCCATGCTTCGATGGCGAAGGAAGCACGAGAAAGGAAGGAAGAGGGAGTTTAGATGGGGAAAAAAAAGAAAGGCGACGGTCGAGCAGCCACCCCGAAAAAGATAATCATAAAAGAAAGAGCTCCTACGTACGAGTGTGGGAATGGAACGGTGCGAGGAAAAGCCCTCAGGCAGCAGTACCACACAGCAGCAAAAGACTGTCAAGGACTTCTCTTCTTCCCCATAGCTTGTTTCTCTTTTTTGCGAAGGGGGGGGAGGAGGGAGAAAGCAATATTTATAGGAGTTTTGATAGAAGCCCTCAAAGGATACCGAAAACACTTGTCGGACGACAGTCACAGAGAAGCAGGAAAAACAAAAACACTGGTGAAGAGCTAAAGCGAAAGGCTGCGGTAAAGCGATCGTATTCCAATCAAAAAAAAATAATTTTACAAAACTACAACAAAAAGAAAAGAGAAGAGGAAAAAGAACTCTACATTGCCGCAACACACGGGGGAGAGATTTCTCGCTCGCATGGGAGGTTAAAGGAAAAAAAAAGAACGCATTCGAACTGCACGCCTTTCGGGTCACAAACCGCAACAAACGGACTGCTGAATAAAAGCGGCGCAGAAGGCTGCTACGCCTGACTTTATTCGTAAAAGATGGAAAAGGAGGAAAAAAAAAGGTGGTAGCACGCTCCCCACTCCGGGATTTGACGTACGCGTAACGAGGAAAGGAGAGCATTTCACGTCGATATGGAAAGCAAGCAACAACAAGAAACCGGTCAAACGATCGCCCCTCCCACGCTCACGTCAACAACGCTGCGCTGCTTCATCCAGGCTGTCTTGATTCGCTTCAGGTCCTCTTCCGCGTACGGACAGAACTGGCGTACCTCAACGCTCTCTTTATTTCGCATTCGCAGCAGCAGCCGCACCGCCAGCTCCAAGGACTCAAAGGTGGTGAACTGAATGAACCACGCATCGGACATCCAGTTCATGCTGGACGTCAGCGGCCGGCTCTGCTTTGCGCTGCCACTGTTTGTGACAGAGAAGCCAGCTGGCGCCGCCGCGGTGTTCGGTGAAATCAAGGCCGACGTGGCGGGCGAGGACAAGGAAGACGGCATTTGCTGCGGCGCATCGCCACCGCCTTCCATAGCCGTCGAGGCCTCACCTGAAAACTTCGGAACGGCAACGACCTCGCCCATCATGCGCAGTGTCAGCTGTGCCTCCAGCGAGTTGAAGTTCTCCGTGATGCTCGACTGGGCAAAGCGTGGCCACATCTGTATGCGCTCTACTCGCAGCGAGTGGTAGAGGATGTTGTTCGGGTGATTGTGCCGGCTGATGGTGACGGTAGCCGTGGCGACGTCGATGGTGAGAACACGGGTCGACCACGCACCATTTTTGATCGCTCCTTGCTTCAACACCGGGATCTGCACTCTCAGCGGGAGCATTGGAAAAAGTAATACCGTCTCTCGGGTAAGGAGATGTGATAATGAATCAGAATTGAGAACAAAAGAATCTTAAGCTGCGCAGTGGAGTGAGTCCTAGACGGTGTGGAGTCGAGTCAATCGAGAGAAAGCAGAATGATCGCGCTTGTGCACGTGGTCGATGCACAGCCACAGACCGTACAGCAGCAATACAAAGGAAAAATGAGAACAACACTTTACAAATAGGAAAATATGCAAGACAAATTACCGCGTCAACCTGAGATACTCCGCAGCGTTGACTATGCAGCTTATCACTAATTGCTGTTTTTCGTTTCCGTCGTCGACTGCGGTGGCTGGCATGACGGACAGGCGTGGGGTCAAACGTGTGCCGTCAAATTTCGTGACGCCTTTGGGCAGAGCAACAACAAGAATCGGCCTCTTGGGACGATGCACGACACAAGAGAAAAGAGAAAGTCACCCTTTACAAGGGGTACAGAAAGAAAGGAGGAAGAACAAAATACCTTCAGCAAAAATCTGAGTCTAGTAGCGACCAAGTAGCACTTCATAAACATCGGAACTTCATGAGAAGTAGTGGGCTACTTGACATTGCACAAGTCTCGTAACGCGCGCACCATGTAACGTTGCTGCTACAATGCGGCACTGATTAAACGTCAAGCATTCGCCTGCGTTCTAATTTCTCCTCCTATCAGATTTCTTTCTTACGGTGCCGATGACAGCTTAGCGAAACTGTTGAGAATCCAGTGGTTTTCAATTTGGAGAGGCGTCTTCTTGACTTCAAGGTGCACTTTGGTTTTCTTTGTTGTTAGGGCACTCGTTCTACTTTACGGGACCCACTGGAAGCGCCAATGCACGACGAACTCGTGTCTTGCTGCCTCACCGCCACACCAAAAATGAATTGAGGGATCACACTCGCACAGACACACAACAGATGACGCTCTTCATTGACGGCGTCGGCAGGTGATCGGCACACATACACACGAAGAGAAAGAGAGATGGAAGGCACCGAGGAGAACACGGAAGGCGAAACACATGATGCTTCCTGTGTGCCTGGCACCGGCAAGTCCTTCACAGATACTACAGAGCATGAAAAGGATTCTTCAAACGCCACGCAGCCTCGCACTCGGCGCATTTCTCGTTCACTGATATTCACAAGAGAGTTTACAAGCACATACATGATAAGAAAAAAGGAGACCAATAGCCACCTTGATGGAAATAAAGAGAACTCGGCCAGGTTAAGTCGATGCCAGGCACTTGAAAAAAGGAAAGCCACAATAGTACTGAAGAAGGCAGCCATTCGTCCGTTTGAGCAGCTCCGGGAGAGAACACGATGAAGCCGGAGTCGTTCGTGAAAGAAGATAGCACCCTTTCGCGGGCACGGTTGCCGTGAAAAAAAAAGTGATTAAAAAAAGGAATACGCCTGTGGGAGGAAATGGGCGGGCGTTCATGCAGCACGCAACAAGCTTAACGCCGAATACAAGGTATACAAACTTGCATCGGCTTAAACGGGAGCTGCTGTGACTCCCTCATATTACGCACTGGACGCTTTGATCAACGCCTGTTTGGCCACCGCCGCATTCGTTGCGAACCGCACCGCCAAGGCGCGCCTCACCGCAGCCAAGTCACCGGCCACGTGATCGCCACACACATTCCTCACCCCGCCGTCCTCACTGCGCAGCCGCTGCAGCAGCGCCACGGCCGCCTCGTAGGACTCAATCGACGTAAATCGGATCAACCATACTTCGTAGAGGCCGTCGATCGCGTCGCCACGCAGCGGCCGGCTCTTCTTACTCGAGTCACCCGCCGTAAAAGCGAACTTTTCAATGTTCGGCACCGCCCCGTCGCCGTGAGGAGCCGCAGCCTTCTTCGTCGTCGGCTGCGAGGACGACGGCGTGCCGGAAGCGACATCGTCGTCGTCTTCAATGAAGATCGGCACGAGCACCTCCGCGCCGATAATGCGAAGAGTCATTTTGGCGTCCAACGACTCGTAGTCGTCGTCCAGCTCCGTCGGCTTAAAGCGGGGCCACATCTGCGCTACCTTCACCTTCAGCGAGTGGTAGAGGACGTTGCTCGGGTGGTTGTGACGGCTGATGGTCACAGTGGCCGTCTCCGTGTCGATGGTGAGAATTCGGGTCGACCACCTGCCTGGCGCGGAGGTGCCTCGCTTGCGCACCGCAAACTGAGCTCGGTAGGACATTATTCACCCCAGAAGAAGGGGGCGAAAATGCGGAGGAGGGGACCCCGCGTTGGTGCGCCAAGGGTGTCAATGCAGCGGGAAGACGTGTAGCGCAGGATTGGCAGCAACGGCACGAAAGGGGAGAGAGAGCAGAAAGAAACGAGAGACAGAAGAAAAAGATTTAATAAAATGGGTGCACGTGGGCTACAGGAGCCCTCGGTGGGTTCTACGCGGGTTTGACTCCCTCGAAATCACGGCCGCTTCTACAGCAAGAAAGTACTGAGAAGAGAGGAGAGAGAGACAACAAACAAAAAAGTCAGCTATAACGTAGCTGTAACGACAATGGCATCATAGCGGGAGATCTGTAGCGCTCAAAAGATAATAAAAAGAAGAGGGAACCGGAAAGAAAAGAAGTCGCAGGAGCATGAGAGGAGTTGGGAGACGCACTTTTAGAAAACACAGTTGAATTGCAGGCCTGTCTAACGCACGAAGGTCCCTCTTTCAGGCTGATAAGCCATGGCCGCGCCGTCATCTTGTGCATCCGCCGTCATCACAATATATATATATTAAGAGAGCTAGAAACAATACAGAGGCCTCGCACCGTGCATAGGAAAGCCTTGACATTCTTTGCAAGACGTGTTAAGAACGGCTTAAGAGATCCGCGCAACTCAATCGAACGGGTTTCTGTGTGTCCTTCACGGTCATGGGATAAACGAGGCGAATTCGAGCGTTGAAAAGGTCCGACTCAGTGCGGGAAGGGACACTGAAAAGGGAAGAGAGAAGGAATCAGAAACAAAAAAGGGCCAATTGTTTAATATGAACGAACGTTAGACGCCGCCTCTGAACGGCACGCGTTCATTTCTGCTACGGAAAAGGAAATGGCATCGAGAGCCACGACCGATGCGGAGAGCACAACGCCTTTTGTGTATACAGCATGAGAAGGGGAAAATAACCGATTGGAAGACCATAAAATAATGCGAAATGCTTGGTTAAAAGCAGTTGATCAAAAAGAAAAAAGGAAGAAGAAAATACTCGTCATTGAATGCCTCATCAACTGTAGGCAGGCAATAGAAAAGATAGTCTTATCGGGGTCACTTTTACCACGTCCACAAACACACACACAATCATCAGCTTGCAGCTGCATTTCTATGTGCTTCGTAGGGTTGTAAAAGAAGCAGCCATTCGGCACGCCGTTTTCTATACCGCCAGTTCTCAACAGTATTCCTTCTCGTGAAGTATGGGGAGAAGAAAACGATCAACTTGTGCTCTACAGTGATGCTCCACCATTGGACGTGTTCGTTGACCGTCAACTGGACTCTCAGAGGAGACCCACTGACACTACAGCGGGCCCCGCCAGCAGCCCTGTCACACCGAACTCCTCCCCACTGCGTCCCTCGTTGAAGCGCACCTGTAGCATGCGGTGCAGCATGGCCACCACCGCGTCATAGGAGCCCTGTGTGGTGAACCGCACCACCCACGAGTCGTACCCGCCGGTCTCCACCGGTCGACTCTTCTTGTGTGGGTTGCCAGCCGTAAACGCGTACGGCATGGCGGGGGCGGCGGGGGCGGCGGCGGAGGAGGCGTCGGAGGCCCCGTCGCCGGCGCGTGGCGCAGGGCTGAGAGGCTGCGACGCCTTCTCCTCCACCTCGTATATCAGCGAAAAGCGCGGAACGGGTACCTCCACACCGAGCAGGTACAAGGTCCGTTTTGCTTGAAGGGAGTTGAAGTCCTCCCCGATGGTGCTTTGAGGAAAGTGCGGCCACTGCTCCACCGCCGACACCCGCACGGAGTGGTAGAGGACGTTGTTCGGGTGGTGGTGGCGACTGATGGTGACCGTGCCGGTGGGCTTGTCGAGGGTGAGGATGCGCGTGGACCAGCTGCCGGTGTCATCCCGCCCTTGCTTCTCGCAGCTGACCTGAATTCTATCGGACATGATTGGATAGAGAACGACAGAAGAAGCGCAAAGGATATGGAGGGAGGATTTTCAAATACAACGTGCTCTCGCGGTGATGCGCGTCTGACAAACGCACGAAGGTGAAGAAGAAAAGAGGAGGTGGATTCAAAAGAGGAGTTTCAAAAGGTGCTTTTACGTAGCCATTCACTCATCACTTACACACTTGGAAAAGAAGAGCCGTGTTCCCGTTCCGTCGAAGAGCAACACGGGGACCCCTACTCCGCGGAAGTTCGAAAACACAGTTAAGCAACCGGCGACAGCAGGAGCACAGCTCTGTGCCGTTTCAATGAGAAGACCGGCAGATAGAGTGAGATACCCGTCGTAACACGCCGTAACCTTCCAGCTAGCGTTGAACGAGATCGCGCTCTACCTCGCGCAGATACATACATTATTTGCATTGCACTGAATCACTACAAACACGATAAAGAGACAGAAACAAAAAACCGCAAAACGGTCTAGTAAAGAGAAACCAATAAGAAAAGTTGGATGGTATAAAGAAGCAAGCTTTATGAGACAGCAACCAGGTCCCGGGGAAGCACAAAGGGGTCGCTTTCACTTCTAGAAGAAAAGAATGAGAAAAAACTCAAGTTTGCAGCCATGTGCTGCACGAGATGGCCCCGATGCCGGTAGCCGCTCCCGTAGGATGAAAAAGGAAAGAAAAGGAACCTATCTTCATAAAACTTGCTAGAGAAGAAACGAGAGAGCGGCCGCTGCAGACTTAGATAACGGCCTCGCGAAGACCTACCACAGCACTCAACGTACGCACCACCGCCGCATCTCTTGAAGAAATGCTGCAGATGGAAACGAGGAAAGGGCCAGCGTTGAAGGCCCTCTGTGCGACGAGGCAGGTACACCAAATCACTGGAACGCGCTGCCACGTCTCCGTGATCGGTGCGAGGGGACCGTCGTCACACTTAGCGCTCCGAGAGCGCCAGCAGAGAACGGCACCTCCTTCGTACACGTCCCAACACCGGGCAGGTTCTCCTTCTTCGAGAACTTCACGCCGGGCAGTTGCGCCAGCGCTTGCACCGCCACATTGTACGGCGCCTTCGAGGTGAAGCGAAGGACCCACGCATCGAACTTGCCCGGCTTCTCACGCCGCGACCTGTTGGTGACGCGTGTCGCCACTGCGGCAGAGGTGTTGTTCACCGCAACCGCCGTGAGAGGGGTGTACGCCGCTGCCGGAGGCAGAGAGGGCGGAGGGAAGGACGTCCCCGACAGAGCTGCCATCCCAGCATGGGAGCTGGGGAGAGGAATACCGACCACTGCCACTTCCTCCGCGGCGACGTCTGGCACCGCCGCTGTTGTGCCAAATATGCACAGCGTGAGTTTTGCTTCGTTGGAGTAGTAATCGTCGTTGAGCATCTCCAGAGAAAAGTGCGGCCACGTCTGCACGGCGGAGGGGAGCAGCGTGTGGTAGAAGACGTCGGTGGGGTGTTGGTGGCGGCTGATCGTCAAGGTGCCGCTCTGCCGGTCCATCGTGAGTACCCGCGGTGACCAGCTGCCGATTCGGTGTGTGCTTTGCTTGACACACTCCATCTGGACCATGCTGGGCGACACGGTGCTTGGTGCCGGAGAGAATGGGAACGCCATTTCGCCGTCTCGCGGAGAGGCGACCGTATCGATGGCAGCAGCGAGTTACTTCGGTGTGGGTGCGCTCGTGAGGTGCGCTCGTGAGGTGCGCTGAAAGAGAGTAAAGAAGAAAGAGAAGAAAAGGAGTCGTTTTCAAGTGTAGGTAACGGTAGATTCTCAGCGGAGCTGGCGCAAGGACGAATGCACACCATAAACGTTTAACTCCTATACCAACAGAGAATAACACGCATGAAAAAGAAACAGGAAGAAAAAAGAGAATAAAGGCGTATCAGATAGTAGTTGAAGAAGGCAAAGCGTTTCGTGTGTTATGAGTTGCGTCAACGTAGAGCTACGCGTGCCAAGAGAAGAGAGAACCAGAGAGATCGAAATATATAGAGAGAGACTGATAGCGACAGCGCAAGTCTTTCATGAAAGAGCCGAGGAAACACGCGCTATCCCGTTTTCTTAACGAGGCATCGCTTCTACCGCGGTTTGAATGCGCTGCCTCATTGCATTTTAACTCAGACGTGAGAATGCAATGAGCCGCATGCCGGTAGCTGACGTTGACTGCAACGTGGGATGATGAACGGCTCCATGCAACCCATTCGAATCTTTCCAATCTCACACCTTGTCGTTTTCTTTTCTACGACACATAATTGGTAGAAAACACGCAAAAGCAATGCAGCGGCTTTATATGTTTTTGAACTGGAAAAGAAGAATAGTAGTAGCGGGTGCAATTAACTTGAAAGCCCCCACAATTAAAAAAGGGGGCGGTGTCTAAGCAGCGTTTCGATGCGTGCTCCGTTATTCCGACTGTTTAACTAGACAGAGACGGGTGTGTTCGTACATCTGCACTCATCAACACGGAAGCCCTTACTACCGTTGCGCTTCTTTTTCTTCTTTTGAGAATAACGTGGCCGTCGAAAGGGCCTTCCGGACGCCTTTGTTTTCCTTACCAGAAAAAACAAAAAGCGTAGAGCACGCGGTTTACGGCGTTTCGAATTGAGTTTTAAAGAAAAGGGGGAGAAACGGCGCATCGACAGTGCTTGAAGGACGAAGACGAGTTATGACTCAGTCTTCATTTTTCACGAGATTTGTGCGAGCAGCCGCTCCATGGAGAGCGCCGTTTCCAATGAAAGGACGAACGATAACAAGAGAGAGAAAACAAAACAGGAGAAGAAGAAAGGTAGTAAATAGGAACGCTTGCATAGAGGTCTACACGCACACCTCTGACGGGGCAGAATAGGGAGGAACGGAGAAATATGTATAAAACAGCAGATAAGCCATCGAGTAATCCAAACTCGGTTTCTGAAGAAGCAACGAGGAGAGCATAGATAGTCTGCCTGCTGTCCTTCTCAACTCAACGTACACTCCAAAGGGACGGCGGAGCCGCACACAAACATATACAGGAGACGAGCAAAAGAGCCACTACGCCAGAGCGAGTCCCGTGTGGTGAAACTGTTCCCACTGCGATCGGATCGAAGCAAGGTCACTCTCCACATCCCCTTCCACCACGGAAGACGACATCACGCCTGCCATGACGAGCTCATCGTCCAGAGGATCGCCGTCGTTGCGGCCTTCCGCACACGCCGCGGCGGGGGTGTCAGCGTTCTCCAGCGCAAACGCCACCGCCGCTTCTTCTTTACTCGTCTGCGCAGGCGACGGCGAAGTTCCTGTCAGAGTCTTCGGATGTGAGAGGGGTCGAAATGCCTGAAAGAGGCGAACTGCTTTTTCTAAATCCGCAAAGGTGGAGAAGCGCAGCATCCACGCGCGCTGATCTTCTGAGGCGTCGCGCTGCGTGTAGCGGTAGACGACCTGTGGGCCATCTGCCCGGGTCACGACGCGCTCACCCAGCAACACTGCCATTCCTTTTACCCGCAAGGTGAGCTTCGCCTCCATCGAAGTCGCGTCTTCGCGGATGTGCGCCTCGTTGTAACGCGGCCACATCTGCATGCTGGTCACGTGTAGGCATTTGCGGTCATGCTCGTCGGTTTGTGCTTTGTGGGAGAGTGCGGCGACGCCGAGGATGGGGCAGAGGGAAAGGACCCGCTGTGACCAGTGGCCACGCTTCCACCTGCCGCGCTTCGTTACGACGATCTGTTCCATTCAACTGAGGGAAGCGGTGTACTCGGTGTGTAAGGGGCGGAACAGTCACGTAGATGTTTATTCTCTTTTTAAAACTTGGGAAATCTTTTTAACACCTTCACTGAGCTTGAGAGTCGGCAAAGACAGCAATCGCAATAATAATAATAATAGTGTTAATACGAATACCGTAGAAGTTTACACCTTATGCTTTATCCTGTATCAATGGGATGTAAGAGAGAAGTTTTTTAAAGGGAAGGCATTCACAGACTGTAAGAGGAAGGCAACCAAGCGTTGAGCGCTATCGGAAAGCCGCGCGAACACAGTGCATTTTCTGGCTCGCTAAAATTCATGTGGGTACCGCGTTCATGATAATGCCGCATGGAGGGTACAGACACCCACAGAATAAATAAGCAGCTTCGATTGCAAGAAAAAGTCTGTTCAGTAGCGACCCAAGGCAGCGTTGACCTCTTAAGCCAAAAACCGTTGTTCTTCACGTTTCTCCTTCCAGCTGTACTCATGACGTTGACGCCAAGAGGCGTTTCTACTTGAAAGCCACGACAAGACGTGTCGAAATCGGTGAGGCCGCGACAGCAGCGTTGAATGGGGAGCACAAAATCCGCGCTGCAACAGCACACACACACATACTTGGCATTATTGTAGTTAGACTTACGCGACAATGAAAACGAAGAAAATCATTTAGTGGCAGAGACCCATCGAAAACAGTTTCTCACAGCCTCCGTCAGCGACTACGACGAACGCTGCCCCCCGCACGCCGAGCTCTTACGCCTTTTCTTGAAGGTGATGGAGAAGAGTCGCAGCGCACGACAACTTTCATTCACAGACAGGTTACAAAATCAAACGCAATTGCCGAAGCGAGAGAGAGAGAGAGACGAGCAGTAACATCGTGCGCCGACATATGAGTCGATGTGAGAAACAGCACTTTAATGAATATTGAACGAGCCAACCGAACAGGCAAACTTCACCGTCAGTTCACCAATAAGTGTAGCAGCGCACAGAGAGAAGATATAATTCACGAAACATGAAACAATGATAGTGGTGGTATATAATAATAATGATAATAATAATAAAGAAGGGAATAAAACAAAATTACGTGCTGCACTCGTTTTTCAGCAGCAGTTAAGAGTCAGACGAGAGAGAAAGAGCGGCACGCGGTGGAGAACACCCGAGAGAGGCAACGAAAAGACATTAAGCTGGCACATCGTGTCATTTGTTGATCACCGCGCATGTCGTGTTTACGTTACACTCCATTCTATAAGAAAGCCATGATGAACAGCGTGCCACTGCCTACCGCTCGGCAGCATCATCAGATCTGCCTACGCCTGTCTGTGAGGTGGCTCCGGCTGACACTGCTCACGAATTACACGAAGCTCCTCCTCCAGATCCCCCGCAATTATCAATGTGACGGCTGGCGTGTCCACCTCCTGCTTCACCTCCTCCCCGTCCCCGCCAAGGTCACCCACCGTTTGGGCGCTGGCCGCACGTGCGGTTGGTGCAATCGTGTCGCCGACCTTCATGGACTGAAAGAGACGCACCGCCCTCTCAAAGTCCTCGAAGGACGAAAAGCGAAGCATCCAGGTACGATGTGCCGCCCGGGGTCCGGGACGCGTGAAGCGATAAACCTGCTGCGTCCCCGGTCGGTGTCTTCACCTCACGAATGCCGATCTTTGCCGGCAGCCCCTTCGCCCGCACCGTCAGTTTCGCCTCGGTAGACTGGTAGCTTTCCTTAATGTGTTTTCCCTGGTACTGGGGCCATACCTGCACGTTCGCCACGCGCACGCACTCGTACAGCTTGTCGTCCTGGGCGTCTTTCGATGTGATGGCGGCGAGGCCCAGGTTGGGGTGGAGCGACAGCACACGCTGCGTCCAGTTGCCGGACTTGATGCTGCCCTGCTTCACGACGACGAATTCCTCCATGGCGGAAAGCTACACCGCAGCAGGAAACGGAGAGAGCAACGATTCGGTTTGTTCTTTCTCTGGAGAGGGAGGGGGAGAGGAGGAATGCGGTGAAGGTGACGACAGTGTCGGGGCGTCGTGCGCGGAGCAGAAGGAGGAAAGACGAAGATGGTGATTGGAGTTGTGCATGAGATAGCGGGGAAGAGGGGTGGGGTGGGAGGGAAGTGGATTACACCGCATTTGTGGAAAGACAACACAAACGGGGCACCCGCATAGAGGAAGGGGTGCAGCTGCAAAGAGGCACTCTCCATCTAGAGAAAGGAGCCCATAACGTTTCGCGCAAGACAGTGTAAGCGCTGTGATCGAAAGAAAGCAGAGTGACTTGCGCTCTGTAAAGCCATTGACCGTGCGCGGCACTGAAATGTCCGTTATCAACAAGCAACTATGCTGCGGTTTCTCCTTCGCTTTTACACGTTTCGACAACAAGACTTACAAGAACAGTTTGCCCCTAAAAAGAAAAGCATACAATACGCAGAATCACGCCGCCACACATCAGCGGCCAACAGCGAGGCGGCGCATGCACGCACGAAGCGGAGAACTCCACATTTAGAAAAAGGAAGAAGAGAGAGAAAGATATAGTGCTGCATTTAAAAATGAAATGAGGTGTGGGCGCTTCGTAGCCACCAAGTAAGCGCCATCACTACGACAAGACGCATTTTTACTCTCACTTACCAGGCTGGATAGGAACTCGAACGTGAAGGAATAAAGCTGCCAGGCAGTTGTGCCGAGACACATCAGCAGCAGCTTAAGAAAGAACGAAGCAACCGAGAAGAGGGCAAAACACACGGCAGGAATAGAAGGCTCGGTTCTCCTTCGTTACGTGAAAAAAACAAACCTGCAGAAGATAAACAGAACAATTCAAAGGTCAGTCTCAAAGGTGCTGAAAGCAAAAAATAATAATGAGAGATGGATCAGAAAATACAAAACAAAGTTCAATCGAAAGGTCGAGATGAACGCGCCCGTGGTCAGAGCAGACGGCAGGTGCTTTAAGTAGATTCGAAAAGAGGAAAAGCGCGGCAGCTCGAGAGAGAAAAGGCAAAGATAAGAATTTAGCTCTCGTCTGATGATCGCGCGCCGCAAGCAAACGAAACCAGTTTTACGCCACAAGGTAGAGTAACGATTTATTCTTGTTAGCGTATGTTAAGTTTGAGTTTATTTCAAAAAAAGAAATTTTGCAGACAGAGAAAATGAGAAAATGAGAGGAAGGTACTATTGTCTTTATCTTCGCTTCGAAACGGCTCCGAGGAAAGCCCAGACTTTCAAGGAAAAAAAAGTGAAAATGAAGTCGGAGAGTGCGCAGCGGCGTCGGCGCTTTGGAAGTGGTTCCTTGTCTTGGCAACTTTAGCGGACGGAGACGGCCGTCGACGGCACCTCCGTATTCTGCTCCGTCACGGGAAGGGACTTCACCCGCGGCATACGCGTAAAAAGCTCCTTCGCCCTGTTCAGCTCCGCCTCGGAGGCGAACCGGATCATCCACGCGTCATCCGCCACCTGGAACCCCTTCACAAAGCTGTAGCGCGTCAACTCCGCCCCGTTTGCCTTTGTCACCGTCTCCCTCATGGTGCCAAGCGCGCCTTTGACGCGAAGGGTCAGCTTCGCTTCCGCCGAGTCGAAGCTCTCGAAGAGGTGCACCCGGCGGTAGGCGGGCCAGACCTTGTCACTGCGGATGCGCATCGATTGGGTGAAGTGGTCTGTCGCGTCGCTCGCGGAGCTGAGGAAGATGACACCCATCATGCGAGAGGCGGAGAGGATGCGTGGATTCCAATTGGTCATCACGTGACTACCCTGTTTTGTGACGTTGAATTCTTCCATGTCGTCTGAGTGAACGGTGCTGCACTTATTCCTAATAGTACTACTACGTGAAGGACGACGAAGAGCGCGTGACGGGTTCGATGAACGTGAAAGCGTAAGGGCAGCGGGAAAGTGCAGTATTGTAGATGTGTTTAAGAACCCTTGTAGCAAAGATGGACGCGGTCTCTTCTGGAGGTGTTCGTTGCAGGAAGAACGAAGTTGTAAAAGCGAGGTAGGGAAGTACAGAGAGAGAAGTACAGAGCGTACACGATGCCGTTAATGCAACTGAAGCCCTTGAGGCAAGACCGCACGTTGTATCATCACGCTCCGTCGAGGCCACGTGAACGGCAAAGAAAATACGAGATACGCATTCAAAGGCGCAGAACGAAAACAGAAGGAAACATTTTCCGGCAACGAAGAAATGCAGTGGCTTTTCACCACAGTCCACGATGAAAAATAAAACACATGAGCCGCCTGGCCTTTATCTTTAAATAGCATTTTAAGGTGGAAAAGCACCGAGTCCTGGAAGCTCGTTCTCTTCCTTTCTTTCCTGCTGCTCAGAAATCGTCCATACAAAAGCAAAAGAGGTTAGTAAAGTAAAAAAAAGGAGAAAAGGTCTCGGTGGTGAGAGATCAGCATCAACAACAAAACACACTTGAAAAGCGTTAACGCTGAATAATGATTAAAGCCGTTAAGTCTGTCCTACTATACATCACCATTCACACACAGTTTTTTTTTTTGCCTTGCAGGCCGTTCCAAGCACGTCTAAACTGGCGCCTCCATCAATAAGTGTCCTGTTCATTACGAGGTTGCCAATGTTCTACAAGCAATAAGAATTAAGTAATGATATATACCTTTATTACGATGAACGGGAGTTTGCTTTTCCCGTCGGGTGGTGGTGTTCTCCACGTTCACAGCCGACGCCTGGTTGCGGCAGCGCAAACACTTCCAACACCGCGGCGCTACACGATCTTTGCTGCGACATGCCGTCTTACAAGAATTCCACAAAGAAGGAAAAAGAGCATTCTTATTTACAACAAAAAGAAGAAACGCGTCCGTTGCATCTTCTTCTAAAAAACGAAGTAATTCGCCGAACCCCAACAACTACCATGAAGTTGCATCCATTTAAGATAAGCAGGGATAACGGTACACACGATCCGCCATCACTGGAGCTGTACAGCGGCGAAAGAAAGACACGAAGATACAAAGGTTTATATATATATATATATATATATATATATATATATACGAGTCG